CCCGCCTTATTGCGCCCCACTTGACACGCGCTTTCTAATCCTAAACGTTAATCTTAAAAAAAAAATATTAGGTCTTTTTGGCTTCTGTTCGGCATTTCGTGAAGCCCAAAAGGGAAGCCTGGATAAAAGCGTGGCCGCGAGGCTTGATATTGATTGGTAGATGGGTGGGAGAGGAGGGGTGAGGAGCTCGACGCTGATTGGTTAACGGGGAAGTCATGTGACCAGAGGGGTAGGTGAGGAGGAGTGAGGTAGGCGGGGAGAAGCTCGGCCACCTGTGCGCACTGAGGAAGAAGAGCTCGAGAGGATAAAAGGCTTCAGAAGATCGCCAGGTTTATCAGCCCTATTTGCGGTAGTTTTGCTTCATTCTAGGAACAGCTATCAAGTGCACATATTGTGCGCGTCAAACTATATGATGAGGAGCGCCCGTAACGTAAGCGTCTGACGTCTGGAACCTCAAAGTGTCGCTAAGCATTTGTGATGCTAGGACGTTTCTTTTTTTTTCTATTGCATACACCGTGCGTTTAATTTAAGTGCATGTTATTATTTGTAAAATATATTAGAAGCCTCGTATGGGCCTCCCAAGAAAGATTGCACAAAAAGGCCATTAAGGAAAAAAATTGGTGTAGTAACAGGGCTCGAAAACTTTATAGGGTAGTGTTCACAGGCGGTCGTAGCTGGGTGCGTAGCTGCTTAGCGCGTGCAGTGGCGAGCTTCCAGTTTCTATGCGACGTGCATTCCGCATTATCAAGATTACCGGTCTTGGGAACCTATGAGTGTGAGCTCGTTCTGAGCATGCCTAGTGAAAATTGAACATAAATATGGCGTCCAGTATTTACTTCCTATAGGAAGCATTCACCGGTGGCCATAGCTGTGTGCGCGGCTGCTGAGCCCGGGCTGACGGCGAGCTTCCACAGTTCTCTTGCAACGGGCATTCCGCACCATCAAGATTTGTCGGGCTTAGTAGGCTATTAAAGGGGCACTGACGCCCCAAAGGTAGTATTTTGTCGTCTAAAACGATGCCAACTTTAGTCATAGGTACGAAGAAAAAAAAATACCACAACACGAAAAAACATTTTCCCACGCGTCTTTTTATATTTGGCGCTGCTCTCTCCCTCTTCTCACCTCCTCGCGTCTTTTTATTTGTGACGTCAAGAGTTACGAAATTTAGGAGCTGTGTAAGCGAGATTTCTATAGTATTTATTAACGGCATTCTTAGAACTTTTTTAACGCAATTCCGAACGCACTGCGACCCTTCGCTTCGAAATACCGAAAATCAAAGTCCGGAGTGATGTCACCTCCCGGCTTTTTATCCTCCCTCGGAAAACATGGCGGCATCGGCACATGCACTGAGGATGATCGGTGAGTCGGGGGAATGGGACGAAGTTCTCTTTTTGAGGTGCCCGACGACCTCTCAGATTTCAAAGAGGAAATCCTAAAGCGGTCAAAACAACTAGGCTTGGTGTCTGTGTACCGTAGTTTCGGTTGTGACTCCGCCGGGGCAGCCTGTCACACAGAACCCGCTCGACGTGGCCGCTCACGTCGCCCACAAAAGTCCACTGCGGGCTCTCTTCGATCTCACACCATTTCAACGAATTGGAGACCGCTGAAAGGGCCCTAAAAAAACTTCAAAAGTGAAGCGTCGTCTGTTCACGGCAACAGGCGGCACACGGAGGCGAGCGGTCGATCGCGGGTCGGGGCGGAGGCGTAAGAGAAACTCGAGTTGCAGGACGGCCCTATTTTGAACGTGCAAAACTTCAAATTCTAATTTCCCCCCAAAAAAATTTTTTTTTTTTTTTTTTAATTTTGTATTGAGTTTTGAAGTTTCAAATTTTGAGGGTATACCCGGCATCGTTCTCAACCGTTTCAGATAATAATAAAAAAACATTGTTTGACCTGTCAGTAGTTTTTTAATGTCAGCTTGATTTGAGCATGCGCTCTAAACCTCGCCCTCAAATATGGCGTCCAGTGATTACCCACCATTGACTCTGCAGAAGCAGATCTTGGAAAATAAAAAATTAAATTAGTTTGTTGAACTTTTTTTTTTTCTTGCGGTAGTTTGTTTTTGGAGAATTTTTTTAAATGGAAGTTTAGCTGATTTAAAAAGAAGCTCTCGCTCTTTCTTTATCTTTCTTGTTGAGGCAAAGATTTGCGATTTGCGCCCCGAACGACCCTAGTCTTGAAAAGGGGAACGAACAGTGGTTCAAAAATCCGGATAGAAAAGTATGGTGGTGTTGTGCCCCTTCCTTATACACCCTTCCATTGCCTATAATCCAGTCGAATAATTCCGAGTAACTGCACCATGGACGGATGCGCGACATCTGATGAATAACGTGTTACAGGCTTTGGTGGGTGACGTGAAGGATAACCCAAACTTCTTTCTCCCTAGACAATTGCTTCCTAAAATAAAAATAATTACTCGTCACTAAAAAAAAAAGAATATCATCCGAGCTTTTGCAGATATTAATTGTTCCCATCTTTCCCAACACACTCATCACAGCCACCGTGCGGTGTCATGTTGAAAATAAGAAAAGAAAACACTTGAAAATTAAGAGCCAGGAGCTGGCTGATGCCTCTTCACTAACACTCTCGGGATCTCATTTTTTTCCCCTTTATGTCAGTGGTGTAATGCGTTTACAATCGTCGTAAAAATGACATTTGATATTAATGTCATTATTAATTCTTACAAACATGCGACTTGCGACATATCTTTTTTTTATAATGCCTTCGTATCTTACGTTATTATAAAAAAGACGAGGACCAATTTAGGTTAAAGGAGGAGGACGCGGAATTGCGGCCTACTTTTTCGCCCGCCAATATATTTTATTTTTACCGTTGAAATATTTTTTTTTTTTTTTTTGCTTTACCGTTACGTCGCATGTGAAGCATTTGAGACCATAAAAAAATGAGCGATGTTGGGGTTGTCAGTGACTCTTCAACGGGTGCCTTCGTGCCGTCGCCTACACCGGGTTGCATTTACACCATAAACATCAAACTCCAAAACAAGCAAGTAGAAATGGCCTCAGCTGACGCTGCATCGGGACCCTAGGCCTCTTGCGCTGAAGCTTTGAACAAATCGTGGTGCCCTCTCTTTGGGTAGTACAAGCTCACCTGATTATGCCTCGCACTAAAAGCGATCTTGCTGAGCTTTTTTTTTTTTCTCTTACATCGTGTTGAAGAACAAAAAAAAACAAAAACCTTTTGACCTTTTTAAAATTGGCAAGGTTCAACGCCGTAAAACAATCAAGAGTGCGGGATTCATGCCACCATCGCTATACACAGAAGCTCCGCTTTCAGCACGAGATCGCTGGCTTCCGCAGTGCTTTGGTTGCACGTGCCTGCGCGTTCGCACTTGTGTTAGCGAGGGTAGAAAGTTCGTGCTTAAGGCGAAGCTACTCTCTGAGCGGTGACGTCAAAATACCTGGCCTCGCAACGCTTCTTTTTCTTTTCCTTTTTGTTTTACTTTGGAACGCGCGAAACGGCGTCTTTGGGCAAACGATTTTAGTGCCTGGGCTTTGACCTGTACAACGGCAAAATTCAAAAGTTCGCTTTTTTTTTTCTCTCTCCTGATCGCGTTCCACATCAGAGCAGCCACGAACGCTTCTACACGTGTGATAGTATGAGACGCAGAAGTTTCTACTAACCAAAACGTGTTGTTTTTTGCAGTACCCGCTTGGCAACGCAGAAGGCATATTGTTGTCTCGCTGCACAGCACGTATACATTCTGGACATTAAATTCGCATTACCGAACTGGTTTTGTTTGTTTTTTTCTCGGGAAGGAGGAGTATATAAGAGTGACCAACAACATGATGCTGTCCCAGCGGCGTCACCTTGGGCGAAGGAAGGTTCAATTCACTTCTTGCCCACGGCTGGTCACTTATCTATACAAATATTTCTGAATCGCGGTTTCTGAATGCCAAAACATGCAAATTAAACAACCGAATTGTTTTTCGATAAAGGGGGAGACCGGTCTTCGATTTCGAAGGTCACCTATAGAACACCCTGTGCCGAGGGCTAAATGCTAAACACAAGCAAGGCAGATGAGGTTCGCCTTCTTAATGGCGTAAACAGATGACTGAGCGGTGGTCACTTACGTGCTTGACAGTGCCCGAAGGGGATATTCGATCCGCCTTCTTCGGTGTTCTATCGCGTCTGATCAACGGTGGGCTCGCTCTGACACTGACCGTTTCTTCACGCGAGGATGGCGCGTCACCTCCTTTTCTTCTCGATCGTCAACCGCCAAACAGTTTTTAGTCGAAGTCCCCTCCGGAATAAAATTTTAAGAACGACTGAATTATTTTGAAAAAAAAAATGCAATCAGTCTGACTTTTTATCATGCTAATGTTGCGGGGAGTTTAGCGTTCAGCACTGCTGTACGTGGAGCGGAGGGCTTCAGCCTTCGCGCGGGCAGAAAGCCCCCTTGTGCATGTTTTTCTCTCCGTGCTTTTTGTCCCATCTCCCTTTCCCCGCGCCACCACTCCAGATGTCTACAATCAAGAGACATGGCGGCTCATTTATTTCATTTCATGTCAACAAAACGTTTCAACGACAACTCGGTCGTCTGCGAACACGTCCGCCCATGACTCTGGCGTAGGTGTGGGTCTCACTTTTCGCCGAAACCGAGCTAAGCCTTTAAATTTCGCCAGGTAAAATTAACCACCACAATGCACATTTGGTGAAAGTTTGAGCTTTCTACGTGGAGGCATCTATTTTTCCGGCTCGACTTACAGCGCTGGGTTGCATAGTGGACACTCCACGAACTATATGTTATTACGTTGCTTTTAGCGACTACGGTGTTGGAAGAAGTGGAGAAAGATCTTCTGGAGGTCTCAGAGTGTCAGCGGACGTTTCACTAAGAGACTTCTTCAGTTCGAGCGAAACGTAATCTGCTGCCTTGAGGCTCGCAGGAAGCTCCTTTAAATCTCCGTATTAGTGTTAATCAAATAACAAAATTCAAAGCCCAGTAATTAGAACTCGAAATAATAAAACAAAAACACATAATCTTCCATCCCTTCCAACTTGGGCAAGCGTTCACTTTATTGCGGTGACTTCTATCGAAAACAGGCAGGCCCTAACTCAAAGCCGAAGGCCTGGTGTTCCCCTCCGAAGTCGATGGGCTGGAAGTCCACGAGTGGCAGTGTCGCTGGTCGCTTGGTTTTGAAGTCGAAAATTGTCTTGCCGTCCCTGTACTGTGAATAATTAAACAAATTGGAGGGCGCTTAAGCTTTTTTGCCTTTAAGAGTGGAACGCGATAGCGTTATCGGGCCCCGTTCGCATCGCCTTTTCATTCCGTTCTCGTGCTCTTCCTGCCAGTGAGCAGGAAGTACGGCGGACCTGGCCTCGTCAGTAGCGTGTCTGGCTAGCAACTGAGGAAAGGTCGTGGGTTCGAATCGCGCCTATAGTTCTTCAAATTTCATGTTAAGGAAAATTAATTATTTGATAAAGTGAAATCATTTGAGACATGCGGAGCCCTTTGATGAGCATTACATGTCCTTTCTTTTTTTAATCACGTTCATTCCACGCGTGATGTCACGTTTCACGTAAGCGTTGTGGTTTGTTCGAAATTCTTGGGCGAGGTCATGTGGCTGTGACGTAATGACCCTATCGACCAATCAGGATTTTTCCCGCCACCGACGCCGACTTTTCTGCGACACAAACTCCTTAACGCTGTCGCGTTAAAAAAAAAAATCAGTAGCGCAGTGATTAAAGTTGTTTTTGCTCCGACAGCGTGTCAGAACAGGCGAATGTCTTCGAAAGGATGAAGTCGAAAGAGAATTAACTCTAACAACTTGGTCCATGTACGTAGTCTTTGATTCACGAGGTTGAGTGTTGTTTCAATTAGGTCATTTGGTTTCTATCACAGCCATTAGAGCAAAAATATTGGAGTTTCATAGGCTGCCACAGGGTGGCTTTGACTTTTGAGAAGGGTATATTGAACGACCTGCTAGGGCTGCTGATAGCACTGTTTCAGAATGATGCCCTAAGGTTTAGCACGAGCGAACATTGTCCAATTTTAGAAAAAACTGAATCTTAACTTTTTTTTTTATTGGAGTTAAGCTTATTGTTCTCTTATGTTATGGGATGACCTTTAGAAATAACTGTAAAAATAACCTAAAGCCGTTCGATCTAAAGCCCTCTATCCTGGGGATCCTGGGAGAAGTGGCGCCATTTATTGTTGTGGAAATGCTCGAGACACGTGCCTCGCGCCACTTTTGGGAAGAACATGGCGTCTGAAATCTAGCTCAGCGCTGCGCTGTGCCGCCATTATCTTCCCAAGGGCTCCACGTTGCACGTCCCTCTTGCATCGACGCACTTTGCGCTACTTTTAAAACATGAAAGGGCTTTAGTTCGACCAAGCCATTCTGAACTAGGAGGAGGGAAACTTTCATTGGGCCGTTATATTTGTCTATTGTCATTTGGTAGTTATAGAATAGTGGGCCTCCACGCTTTGGGTCTTCAAAACAACTTGGGGCGTCGCACTGCGCATGCAAAGTGCAACGCGCCTAGCTGTTTGGGGGACCAAATCTTTAGGACCCCTTATACTAAACCTCTCTACTGATGACAACGGCGTCTACTCACCTGGCAGTCATCCAAGGATACCATAGGACTGTTTTTCTTATACGTCATCAGCTCTTCGTTGTGACCCAAGAACCGAAGCGCGTTTCCGTGGTCTTTGCTTTTCTGGCTGTACCAGGCGTTCACGTTGGTGCAGACGAGCGTGAAATTCTGGTATCCCTCAGTGCTCAGAAGGGTAAGGAACCGAAGCTGAACATCCCCGATCGCACCGTACCTTAGCTTGAAGCCTCCCTTGAGCTCACTGAACCACGACGTCTTATTCTTCGCGTCCCGCGTCCCCTTGTCCCACTTGGACAAACGGACGGAGCTCACGTCTCCGTCCGCGTACACGCACGACTCTCCGCCGGACGTGATGCCGCAGAAGACGCGGACGGCGTCGTCTGCGACGCCCAGGTTCGGATCTATCCAGTACCAGCCGTCCTCAAAGTCCGGATGTGCGAACCGGAGGTCGCGACACGTCCTGGCGGGGTTGCGTTTGGAGCCCACGGGATGCCGGAGGTGCTCGATTTCCTTACGCAGTACGTAAACGTTGGCGTATATGTGGGTGAGCGTCTTGTGGATGTCGGCCGTGCGGTTCTTCTTCTGGCTTTCCGGCAGTGTAGAGTTGTCGATGGTATCTTCGTTGGCAGTGTTGTCGTAGTCTTCCTGGTTGTCCTCGCCGTCGTCGATGCTGGTTTCGGAGAGGTCGCGTTTGAAGCGAGATCGGTCTCGTTGAAAGAGCATCTCTGGTGGAATTTGAGGCCCTTCACCTGGAGGTCCCTGTAGTCGCACCAAAAAGTTCGTTAGACGTTGATCCGAACTAAAAAATGTAACTGAACGTATCTTACATTAACCGTATATGCGAGCTAGAGTTCGGTGTAATGGAATATATTGAATAATGCTTATATTACACACAAACATAAGTTACTTGTAGTGTCCACGACCAATTGAAAACAAGAACAGAAGATCTAATGGGGCCTTCGTTTCACAATTGCTATTCTATATCAGCCCTTCTCTAAACAAGGAAAACATAGTGATGGCGGCGAACTGTTTATAACTATAGGCGGTAAAGTGCATCAAATTTGCTGTGAGATATCAGCTCGTTCATAGAGTGGATTAAAGTACTATAAGCAACAACATGAAAGAAAACAGACTTCCTCGCTTTTTTTACATACCTACAAATTTCGTAACATGTTATAGTCCCGACGAGGGCTAGAACATAGAAGTTTAATCCCAAACTACATACTGTTTGATAGTTTGAGATATAACGAAGATTGTGGGAGCCGCGAAACTGGAAAGAAGAAAGATTAACTGTTCATTTCATGTTATTGCCGATAGTACAGGTACGGGATAGAGCAGACTCCTTGCGTATTGATTTCTTTTTCAATAAGCTTTTTTGGTTCGTTGTTGATTTGTCATGCATTCTATAGCAATCGCTGCGGTGTTATAGCAGTAGGTATTTAAATAAGGCCAACAAAGTATCATTGGCACTCACTCTACGACAATTATATTGCTGCCGAGTTTAAACCAAGAGGTAATTGCGTACAGAGACAGCTACTATCATTCGGGAATTTGAATATTCCTTAAATTTGAGTTTTCCAATTGCGCTACAGTTCGTATCTGTATTATGCGCCCCTAAGAATCTTGCAAGATTGGTTCGGGCACTATACAGAAAAAACAAAAAAATATTTAGTACTCACCGGTGGCCCATGTAACCCCTAAAAACACACAAAAAGGCAAGAGGACAAATTGGTAAGTATGTTCTAGAAATTGTTCCGAAAATCTCAGCGTAAGAAGTTATGTTTCCACACTTACAGGCGGTCCTGTCTCTCCTTTCGCCCCAGCTGGACCCTTAAATGAAACAAAACAAACGCGTTTTCAAATTAGGTTATCCCCGGTGCATCTGGCAAGAAAACATGAAGATGCGGCTTACCTGGACTCCCTTAGGACCAGCAATGCCTTCGGGTCCCTTAAACACAAGCAAAAGATAAATATTTATTATTACTCCATGTAAATACTTACGGTTAAAAGGCGATCGAAACAAATAGTGCTTACGGGGTCTCCTTGTGGACCGTCAGCTCCTTTCGGGCCTTCTGGTCCGATGGCGCCCTAGCAAAGTCAGTAAACAAAGTCGTCAGATAGTTTCTAGCAACACGAAAACCTTGATGTCTTATTTGATAAGAAGAAATTTAAACTGCTACCTGGTCCAACGTTTATCACAATCCCAATTAGTCTATTATCGTAATACCCTGAGCTCAGTTCATCGAGAATCGTTATCCAGGAGAAATAGAACTTGAGGAGATTACCGTGCTTGAGGACGTCACCTAGACTGATTTGATGTCTCGCGCTTACGGTACAGGATACATACAAGTACGTAATTAAGGCAGTTTTAGTGGCAGAAATACAGAAGTTATTGTGTTTTGCAAGTTGAGCCCCATATACACATCGTTTCACCGATGGCCACAGCGAGCTATCCCAGCCAATCTAGCGCTGAGAATGTACAACCGGCCTACGCGCCCGGCGTGTCGCTGCGCCCTTCCCCAAAGGTCATGTGACACTCACACGGCACTTGAATGGCCGAATGGCTCTTAGCGTCCGCTGCGGTACATATTAGACAGTTTTAGCGGACCGTACGCTATAGCTTTGCGTACGCAAGGAAATTGCGCGTCGTGAGTGCGGATGCGCAGAACGCAATAAAAGGGCTAGCGTATTGCGTACCCACGCAACGCTGGGGATTTTGCGTTGCTGGCTAGCGGGCCTTGCGGGACGCTCTCGAGAGATCTCGGACCCAACGAGAGCGCCAGTTTCAAGATGACGGTTGCCTCGACTGGCGCAGCAAGGGCGATGTGGTGTTTTCTAAGTTCTGTGTTACGTGAAATTGCGTGGTGTTCAGCTCGGCGATTCTTTCTGGGACCAACCGCGGTCGAATCAGATCGCCCTGCCGCTGAAGGAGTGCACAGTGGAAATGTTCGCCGCTCGCAGTGTGCGTCGACGCCGCGATCTGCTCAACACTAAGCCTATTCCCACAGTTCATCGCCGACGGACGAAAGACTCTAAAAGAAATCGCCGAAGTTCTCGCTATGCACTGGGCATCAGGGTCATGAATTTCATTCCGCGATAGGGTGCCGTTTCCACGGGACGACTGACGGAGGCTCCGTGATCGAATTTGGCTGCGCACTCGTACCCATAGCCTCTGTACCCCGCAGAAAAGCGCGCTTGACGAGGCAGCTGTGGCTTGGTTTAATCTGAAATAAAATGATTGGACACTTTTTCTTTTTCAATATTTCTTTCCAGGAGCATGGTTGCGCTATAAGCACGCGGAATTCTACGTCTCTAGCAAATTTAACCAAGGTCATGCGCGGTGTTCACTCGAAAACGTAACGCACAGCTAAATTTCGTCCGAGAAGGTCATTTTTAGCGTACGCTATACTATTGCGTATTGCGTACGCAAGACCCAGCAACGCTATACTAAAACTGTCTATTAAAGGGTCATGAAACGCTATCAGGCTGGAATGTTCATGACTTTGCAGCAGCGCAGTGGCCCTAATCTGGCCCTCGGTGTAAGATGTCCACGGTGTAAGAGCGCTGTCCTCACCTGGTCCACGGTGTAAGAGCGCTGTCCTCACCTCTTCAGGTGAGGACACCGCGCTCCTCGCGACGTGCCGATAAAGTTCCCTTTTCAATCTTTCTCTTCCAAACTCTCACTTTGGTTTCAAGCGGCGCCGGCAGATGACTCGTCGACTTGTGGGCACGGTGTAAGACGCAGGAGGCAGGCAGCAGTGCACAAGACGGCTCGTGCCGCCTCATGCTCCACACGCAGAGCCGTATATGTAGAGAGTTTGGTCAATGGGAGGGGCGGGCAGAGCCAGGGCGTGCGGCTTTGTCGGAAAGAGGGCTTGGCATGCTCTCTTGACCAACCAGAAGCCGAAAAGAATCCCCTAGGGGTGGTAGCGAGAAACAGTTCTGATCAAAGGTTGTATATGGTTTTAATATTAAGAAACGAATGCGCCGCTCAACTCTGTTTTGCGCGGACAGAGTGTGACCGCTCGGACGGCAGATTCCCGGCCCTCGGCGCTTGGCGTACCGATTATGTCGATCGTTCCGCTAGTCACACTCTTCCGCCATCATTTCGGATGAGCGTGATTGAAACATTACGTGTACCATATTTTCAGCCATCGAGAGTTACTCCAATGCAGTTATCAGGTTTGTTTCTCGCGACCACCGCCAGGGTATTATTTCCGGCTTCTGGTTGGTCACATTCTAATTTCTGAAGACGCCCTGGAACACGCCCAGCCCGCTTTCGGCCAATGGCGCCTCCTCATTTGTCTCCTATACTTCCCAACGAATGGCCAAACTCTCTACATATACGGCTCTGTCCACACGCACAGAGCTCCAGACAGGTTGTCGCACGTGCAGAAAGACCACGGTGTACCGGGGTGTCATGGCTACGAGATAATTCGTTTCGCTGTCACAGTTTCGCCGTTTGGCCGCCGGCGACACAGTCAGCCGCGGGCACGGTGGCCGCGGAATGATGCAGCTTTTCGGATGCCCGTCGAACGAACACTATCTGATTCCTCGCCCCGCCGCGTCCTCACCTGAACAGTGTTTCTTACACCGTGGTCTGGCCCAACAATACTCACACAGACCTCCACTGATTCAGAACCTTCTTTGTCGCTGTGAAATTGCGACGATGAAGGGGAACTATTTCTTTCGGTCTTTCTTTGCGAAACTTGATGACGTAATTGTAGGATCGAAGCCACCCGCCTGACGACAGTCGAGCGCGACTCATGGATTGGACACGAGAAGTGTGTGAGCACTCGACTTCGGCTCGTAATGGTCAATGTCTCGGCGGACACTCGGGTAGTGGCTCGTGACCAACCGCTGCGGTGGTGAGAAGAGCCGAACTCTAGCAATGCCTGGAGCTCAGAACGCGTTTTCTACTTTGCCAACCCGAGCGTATGGCCACGATTAACGTTGGTCGCATAGGATAGCCACCAGGCCACGTGGCTGCTTGTTCTGGCTCCGAGTTTAGGGGATGAACGAAGCTCATATTTTTCGGATTTTCTTGGCAACTGCCACTGTATAGAAAAAAGGACTAAGGCAAGTTTATTCAGTTATTAACGTTAGGGAGTGATTCTAAGTAGCATTCAGCAGAGTATAAAAAAAAAAAGTTAAAACTTCGATTATTTTATTTTTGTCAGTCTGGTTTGAGCTCGATTGTTTGATAAATAGAACTTAACAACACGAACAAGATAGGGACGCACGAAGGACGGCACCAGCCCTCGTTGTATATATATATATATATATATATATATATATATATATATATATATATACACGAACAAGATAGGGACGCACGAAGGACGGCACCAGCCCTCGTTGTATATATATATATATATATATATATATATATATATATATGTGTGTGTGTGTGTGTGTGTGTGTGTGTCTGTGTGTGTGTGTGTGTGTGCGCGCGCGCGCGTGCGTGCGTGCGTTTATGTTTGTGTGCGTGCGTGTGTGTGTGTGTGTGCGCGCGAGTGTATGCGTGTGTGTGTATGTGTGTGTCACGCTCTAATGATGATAACGGTCGCCAGTGTACACTCAAAATGACGCTCAGCTAAAGCATGGGAACGGATTTCGATTACAAAATAAACCAAATCGCGGGCATAATTATGTGGACCGAAGACATAACATACACGTTAAGAAATCTGGAGCATCTACTTTCCCGCAACGCACTCGGGAGAGCCAATCGCTGCAATCTACGGAGAGATCGAGGCGAATGACGGAATTGATCATACGTAGGGTTCGGATTTTTCGGTCTAAACCGATAAAAATCGACAAAAATACGCCGAATCCATTTTCGAAACTTCGGTTTTAACCGAAAAAGGTCAATTTGTAGGTTCGGCGTTTTCGGTTCAAACCGATAAAACCGATAAAAGTACGTCGAATACATTTTCTAAAATTCGGTGTTAACAGACTTTGACCTTCGAGTCGTACCGCAGAGCCGTGGCGAAAACGTGGAACGACAGTGTCTATCGAAACGTGTCCGAATGTATGGGATACACGGATGCCATCACGACGTTATGGTTTAATGTGCGCATCATCGATCAAAACGTGGTCCGAAATGCCCCATGACTTCGCCATGTACGAGCGTGTTTTCAAATTCGTTGTAAGGGAGACTGACTTGATGCAACCTCTGCAGCCAGAGTTTAGTAAGTACACGAAATATGTTGTGCTTCAAAACGTCGCACAGTGTCTCTTTTGGCGGTCAGATTTGGTTGATTGGCCGATTTTGGCTCAGGCAACGATTCACTCCCTCGGCCTGCCAGTGTCCAGTGTTATTCTCGAGGCTCAGGGTCATATTAACAAGGAAAAAAGAGTGCGGATCAACAAGAACATGGCAAAGTACATGTGAGTTTTTTTTATATATATATATATATATAATAAGATTACGTAGTCCTAATGTACAGAAAGTGAAATTTTATGTTTTGGGGGCATAGGCTCCATATCTGATTTGTCTGTACTTCTCTGTTTTTTCTTGTTTCTTTTACAGTTGCACACATTTGCCAAAAGTGCCAATTTCTCGGGCAATGTATTTGTGCCGTTACTCTTTGAGTGATTACAAATATCAGAGCTACAAGGATCATCTCATCCGGTGCCCGTTGGTGTTTATTTCCTATTCACCGATAAAAGACGCTCAACTTTTGTGGGCATAAATACACCAAGAAAAAAAATTCAACTTTTTAAATAAACACCGAAAATAGTACGCCGAATTTTGTAAAAATGAAACCGAAAACGCGGAACCCTAATCATATGTTTAAACCCCCCCCCCCCCCCCCCTTTTCTCGAAAAAAGAAAGAAAAGAAAACGGTCTACGTTGTGCATTGAGCAGTGCGAGACGTCATGATCACTGCCATAGCGCAGACGATTGTAATTTTATTTAGATTTAAACGTGTTATCAGCCTTGTCATTTTCCGAGCGCTCTCCGTTGTTTGCAGCGATTGGCTCTCCCAGGTGCGTTGCGGAAAATTAGACTCCAGATTTCCTTGAAATGCATGTGTGATGGGACACAGAGAAGACAAAGAACTCGACACAAGCGCAAAGTTATAAAACACGTCGAAATAAAAAAAGCGCCAAAAGTAGTAGGTTGCCTTTGTTCCAGTTAGTCTCTTATACTTTTTTTTCATGTCTCCAAGTAAAGACAAAGGCACAGGCACGTGAGCCTAGCTCAGCAGATCGCTTGTTTGTACGAGAACACGTTCATGGGCGGCACTTTCGAAAGCCCCGCGCCCGTGCCATGCCTTTGTCTGCACTACAGATCTTTGTAAGACTGAAGGCTGCCATATTTTGGGCGTAGCTTCCCGCGTGAAGCTTGTGATTGGATCTGAGTTGACCCCGTGCACTGACGCAGCACTCGTGTCGAATACGAACCTGAGCACGCACCGAACGCCGATGACCGTATACTTGTCCAGTGCATACTCAAAGTGCATGCCTAAAACAGGGCGACCTCGGATTATTAAGGCTACTGGAAGGTGCACAATTTTAAGAATGGTCTACTGGGACTCGCAACTCGTGGCCCACGAGTACGTCATCAAATAAACCCTAAACCATACCGAATGATAGCCATTTAGAGTACCTGACAGAATGAGAACTACAGGGCGTCTGCTTTAGCTGTCCGGCCTACCGCCGGTGCTTTGGCTGCGCGTGCATTATATCGAGCCTCACGAGATGCCGTAGTGTTACAGAGGGACCGAGGGTATAAACCTCGCGCTGGAACCGGGACGACTGAAAAACCCCACCGCCGTTCTAGCTTTCGCAGTGATTATAGTCAGTCATGTCATCGAGGGGCACAAAGGAGGCACCGACCTGTGGGCCCGGGACGCCTGGGAGTCCCGTCTCTCCTCTTTCCCCTTTCTCCCCTTTCTCGCCGATGTCTCCCTTGGCTCCCGCCCGACCAAGAGGGCCCTGGTGGCCCTGTGGTGGGACACGGGGGAAGCCGAAGTCACTGAGAGGAGCGCCCTCTAATCTGCTACGCAAGGTAGCGAATGATTTGTGATAACGTGTGCTCCAAGAAGATCCGATAAAATGACAACCTTGAATCCTCGCTTGCCTCTGTCACCCTTCATGCCTTTGTCACCTGGGGGTCCCTGAAAGTGTAGAACAAAAAGATATAAAACCAACTAAGGTCGTATAACGAATTTAAAAAAAAAAGAGGAACTAGAGTTCTCCACCGAAAACAAGTTGAAATCTCGCTGCCTTATCGATGAGATAAACATTTCTCTCACAGCTAAGCTGTTTCGTATCTAAGCGAACTCTCAAGCCCTTCATTTGGCTAAACGCGCGTAGAGCGATTTTTTTTTTTGTTTTTTTCCGTTCAGCGATTTTCGTAGCACATAAAACGCTCAAACACATACGACAAAAAAAAGATATGGAAGAAACCATTATTTGTAAATAAAAAAATGGCGCAAAACAGAAGTTTATTGAAATGTAAAACGGGCAAAGATTGTGGGATTTGATGATTCATTATAAAGATTTTTTAGCCAACCACATTGGTGGACTAAAACGAAAGAATGAAAGAGAACCGTATGTATACTGAGACTGACCATACTTCCAGTTTGACCAGGAGGACCGACCGATCCCGGGGGTCCGACGTCGCCCTGAGTGATGGGACGAAATGAGCACGAAACGCATTGGGAAGAGACGCACGACAAACGTCAAAAACGAAAAAGAAAAAAAACAGTATTAAAATGAAAAATGAAAATGAAACAACGAAGGCATAGAGGGGAGCAGCTTGATGACTGTGCTGGTATGTTCAGGTATCTTTTGGTGTTGAGGCAGACTCACAGCAGGACCAGGAGATCCACGCAGACCGGCAGGTCCCGGCGACCCGGACGGCCCCTGCATAGAACGAGAAGTGAAAACTTTAATTGTAAATTAATATAAAAGTAATCAGAGCTCATCTGTTTTATATCAAATTAACGCGGAGATGTCCACACTCTGGAAAACGCCTGAGTGTTCACTTTTCTGCGCAACACACGCAGCGGCCAAATACTTAGTACAACGAAAAGGTCATAGTGAGTGACGAAGCACGGAGTACGATTGCATCTGAAAAATAGGATTTGCGCTAGGACAGCGAGTTTGATATTTCACTTACTCATTGTTCCTGGGCAGTTTGCATTTTTTGGTACAATCGTATTATATGGGCTTCGACATTCGCTAGGATTGGTTGCCAGCGTCCTACATGTGCGGGAATACAGTGGCAGTGACTGATTGTTTGCGTGTTCTGCAGGAATTTGCAGCACATAGACACTGTTATACTCGAGGACAACTTTTTGTGGCATTTCTGAAGAGGAAGAGTGCGCGTGCTCGTCTGCAATCGCTGCTCGGTGTACTCGCTTCGATACCTTTGTCTGCATGACCACAGGAACGTGTGCCCAAGTATCGGCAACGCTCACGAACAAAAGCGTTGCTGTGTTTTGCCTTCCGTGATTGGCCAAACGCTAAGTATGACGTCATTAGTAGGATTAACTTTGCTTTCGTCGACGGAAATAAGAGTAATGTCACAGTCAACTTTGACGGTGTTAGTTTAAAAACGTCACGACCCCAAGCTTTCACCGTGTTTTTTTGTTTGTTTTTTTTACACACCGTTGAAAAACTTTTTCGCAACTGATAATCTCATTGCGCGCGTTGCAAATTATGGGGTTTCTTCGGCCATCGAGAGGGGTAGCATGGTTTTGATTTCGATTGCCCCGTTGACGAAGTACTGCATCTCAGCATTGCATGAAAATAAACTCAGCGCTAGCTCTCATTGCCCCCATTCATCTTCGCGGGAGCCCCGTTGGAAAACGAACCTCCAGCGGTCGTAATGACCTGCCTATGCGGACCGCAAGTTCGTCTGCTTCTTTTGCAGAGGTTGTTGTGACGTCAGAACGCCGATCTCTGATTGGCTCTAAATTGGAAAGGATAGTGGGTAGACCTCAGGGCAGCTTGCTTTGAGGTCTATCCACTATCCTTCAATCAGATCCAATTAGAGGTCGGCGTTCTAACGTAACCACAAACCCTGCAAAATAAACAGACGAGCTTTCACTCCGTATAGACTTAGCGAGGACTAGGAATACGGACTGCCGCGTCCCATACCTTTCTGGCAGCCTAGTTACAACTCCAGAGTGCAGCATGCCCCTCCCCAATCACGGATACACAGCTTGCATGTGACGTCATTTCCGGCCATGCCATTATTTTATGCGACGCGAGCGTTCGGTTCGCCGTGTTAATTTGATACCGCACAAGTTGTAGTTCAAAGAAAGCAGTAAGTAGAAATAACCGTAAGTACCCTGCAATGGCGACACTTGCAAGCTATGTATAATTTAAGAAGCCTGGGACATTTAAACAATGGAACAGGCTGATCGGTCTAGTACAGTTCTTCTTTTCCTGCGTTTACTCGCCACAAACTCTGGTGTGTCAGAACCCCCCCCCCCCACGCCCCCCCGCCCCCCTCCCCCCAAAAAAACAAAAAAAAAGGTGTTTTAGCATTATATTTATGTTAGTAAGCCACACCTACAGTATTATAAATTTAAGGAAAGTAATAAAATAGAAAATGCACTCACTGCAGTTGGTCGAGACGGGATGTCATAAATTGAGGTTGGCAAATCAAAACCCCAACCGCGTGACATTTTGGGTTCCCAAGTTACTTTGCGCGGCTCTACGCCGCTAGGGTCGCCTTGGATCTTGTGAGAGGTCCATTAGCAGCGACGATTTTAGGCACTAAAATGACCGACACGTCAGTTATGCATTTAGGAGTCATGCTTATTAATTAAGGTGTTTTCTTTTGGTTAGGAAAGTTTATCTTTCCAGAGTTGCGTCGGCATTGTGTTTTTTTTTTAGCTTTCTACGTTTGGGTCGGCGGGGCCGGAGCGGCCGCGATGCGGGAGCAGTCCCCCCAGAAGCGTCTCGGGTTTCGGCAGTCTGCTCGGACCGGGACCGAAAGAGCCCGCGCTGGAAGATGCTTGTGGCTTATAACCGAATGTGCGTGTATGCAAAGGGTTTTGCCGCTTAGTGTAAAATTGTCCTTTTTGCCCGATGCAATAATTTAGCGGTTGGCGCCAGTCAGGCTGGGAAAATTGCAGAGAACAACTCTACCAGGAATTTAGGTTTGGCGGTTGGGTCACCAAGATGACAGCTCGCCGACCATTGGAGAACAGTGTACCACGTGTGAGTGGCGGAATTTGAAGAGATTGGTCGGTTCCTGAGGGGAAAGGAGGCCCCTATGGGCCTACAAAAAGAGCGCGGAGAGGATTTTGAGGGATTCGGACTTTGGGTTTGATGGAGAGAGAAATTTGGGACGGGGGTCGAGACTTTAGACGAGGAAGGATGGTCTCCCAAGTTGGGACTGGTAAAGAGAGTGTAAATAAACGCACATAGTTCTATTCAAGCAGTGAGTCGACCCGTCACTCAGCGACGTTCGTGCCACCGCGCTCCAGACCATCGGAGCGGAACCTGCCTCCCACACCACCGGGAGGAACAACAACAATAACAAACTTTAACTACGTCGTTATCTCTGAAGTGTTGCTTATTTGTATTGGCTCTCGCATTTTGAGCGTTGAATAAGTTTTACACGCGCTCCGCTCCTTTCCTCGAAACTGCCGAAAAAATTTGTCCCTGGGTATAAACGGTGTGTACAATATACTAAAAGCGGTCTTTTCACGAAACTGTAACTACCTGATATGGGTTTCAAGGCAGCTAATTTTTTTTTTTTTTTGCTTGTTCTTGAACAAAATGAAAATGTTGCTGGACAGCAGTCTTCAAAGCAAACAAGAAGAAGTGGAAGGAATGATATTATTAAAAGATTATACGTTCCGCTAAATTGGGAGGCCACCTACTTGTGGCCAGTCAAGAAAGACAGTTCGCTCGGTGTGTACACTCGATTAGGATTAAAAGCGCCATGAAAGAGCCGAAAGAAGATGCCCTAAAATGAATGCCTACAACAAAAAAGAAATAAAGTAAGAAGAAAGCCACTATAAAACAGTTGCCGTCATTGCACAAGACGTCATTCAGCAGTGCTAGTTATTTTCCTAGACACTTCTTGCTTCGAAACACATTTTCAATGGTGAAAAATTACCCCGGTAAAGTCAACACTCGTGAATTATCAACCCCATGCATCGTGGCAGACCAAAATCACGGTTTCCGGCGTGTCTGTTTGATCTCCTCCCCAGCACAGCGCTGACTTTGCGATAAGCGCGTGCTGACGAGAGCGTACACCAGCTTTGTATCGCACCGTCAAAACTGTTGTTCACTGCAGACGATAAGTAGCTGACGGCACGTGAACAGCGCTACATCAGCGCTTCACTGCATGGGAAAACCAGCTTTTATGGTTCACGCCCGAGACATCACATTCACCTCAATAGTAGTGATTGGTAGGGATCTTGGTTACTCGTCATCAGTTCGGAACGACAAGCTCAATGGTATACGCCAAAGAGAGCTCGATAGAAGCTTGTGCGTGCTCAACAGCATCACCATCAAGTTTACGTTCTTACAAGACTCTTGACCAGCTAGTGGAAGGTCGACCACAGCCACTTGTTAGGCCATGCACGTCGCCTCCCCCCGCCCACCCCCAAAAAAAAAAGAAAAAAACATTGTTGGCAATGTCACAAACGATCGTTATCTACATTGAGCGAAAACACGCAACAAAAAAAAAATCTGCGACAGAAAAACGTATTTCGCTAGCAGCGTGATTGAGTGATTCCTGACCCGCGAGCTTTTAACAGCTAAATTTCGCCAGCTACTTTATCCCCTGCTTGAACACTGTACATGGCGGACTTAAACAATGTTTCACCTTGCGTGAATTAATTGTTCAACACCAGTTAAACTGAAATGGTGTGAATGGCGTCCAACGGATCGGTGCAAAACGTTTTGAACGCGTAAAGGCCCCTTCGCACACTTGCGTTTGAAAGCGTTTGAAGAGCGTTTGACTGAGTTGCGGTTGCGAGAAATCAGGACATCCATGCTTCTTAGGTCCCGTGCCAAGCTATTGCTTTAATTAGACATATATATATATATATATATATATATATATATATATATATATATATATATGGAGGTACACCATACCGGAGGTCCCGTAGGTCCCTGGATACCTTCTGGTCCCAGCTGTCCCTTGTCTCCTTTCTCGCCGGGGAGGCCAATGTCCCCCTGAAGTCCTGCCGGACCCATGGGGCCCTTTGCGGGAGGGAGTTTCATATCGTGCTTGTAAGGTTACCACTCCAAAGCACCCTCTTAGGGCAACGTTGGAAGAACTATTCTTACCGGCTTGCCAGGAGCCCCAGGAAGTCCCATCTTGCCCATCTCGCCTTTAGTGCCCTTCGCGCAATGAGAAAACTCAAATCAAATGATGATGATGATGATGATGATGATATTGTGATGTTTGAAGTTAGCAAAAGCAAGCTAGCAAGACCGCAATGATAGCCTTTTTTCATTATTATATACAACAACACGTTGTAAAGACACTTAGTGCGTCACGGAAGCCAATGCACGTGCGCAGGAGCTCGCTTTTCAAAGAGAAAAGCATTTGCGCACGAATCGTTCTGCGATCGTCACCACTGCCCTTGGAGTGACCTCCGAAACATGTGTTGGTGTATGAACTCTAAAATCAATTATCAGCAAAAACTCTACAACAAAAAGCGCTCACCATCAAGCCGGGTTCTCCTTGTTGACCGTCAGCACCGTCAGAGCCTCGTTCACCCTTTTTGAAAGACACAGAAATTTTCATTGACACCCCGCAATTTAAGAAATTGTAAATCTAAAAAACTATCATTTCACCTCTTAGAAAAGCCTTTTTAGTTGTAATTAACTCGCGTCTTGTGATTCTTTATTGAACTTTCACCACGCTCAACTGCCGCTGAGTGTAATCGTCAAAAATGTCCTCTTGACACAAGTGCAAACCGTCGATACGCAGCTGTCATAACCGCGAGCACATACCTTGATACCTGGTAATCCTGCTTCTCCTGATGGTCCCGGAAAACCTGGAGGTCCCTGCATAATAAAGAAAAAAAATGCAATCAAATTCTTGCACGCATCATAGCTAGCAAAGGCATAGTCATAGTTAACCATGCGCTAGCTCGATAACTACCGAACGCATTACATCAAGTGACAACGTGGTCTGGAAAACCAGGAATAACAAATCAACTCTCCCCCCCCCCCCCCCCCCACACACAAAAAAAAAAAGTTCACATGTGTTTGGAAGAATGACATTTTAAGTTCACGACAGCGCTGCATTAAATACTACAACTTGGCCTGCTGTAGATCAATGAATTCCTCGTGGAGGTCTGCGCACACGCGTCTCCGTGTAAACCGGGTTCCAGCCTCAGCTTGTATATTCAAACGTATGCAGCCTAAACGTCGTAACGTAAAAAAGGCAAGCTAAGTGGCCACGGTTATGATCCGCATTCGCTGGGAACCTGTTTTACAGCTTTGGTCACTGATAGCTTAAGAAATGCTAGACATGCTACAGGAGAGCCACGGAGGAGAGCGCAATTGAAGATGTCCGCCACGCCGCATGTGCCCGCTTCCGCAGCTTCGCGACCGCGCTTTTTCGTGGCTGATGGTACCGTGCTGCTGCGAAAGGTATACTTGCAACAAATCTTCTCCAAGACTGCGACAGATGATGATTCACCACAAACATTCTAAATACGATCACAAAAAAAGGCTTCACAATCTATTGCTGTGTGTGAAAGATCAGACTTCCTGGCAGTTCGTGTTCGGCCACTTGAGTTGCGGGGACTGAACCAACGAGCGAACAAGCGCAAAAGAAAGAAAAACGAGCACAATCCCACAGACATAAAAAACGCTACGGTTGTCGTTGTTTCCGACAGCGTCTCCTTGACGTCTTGACGCTTGACTCAAATCGGATCGGATCAGCCGGCTTGGCCGTCAGTTGTATTCAAGTAAAAACACAATAATCATTTACTTATAAAAGAAGCAAAAATTAACACCTTACTCAATAATAAACGAATATTATCTTTAGAAAGTGTCCTTAATTATATATTACTAAGAAATGCTTAAAATATTATTTTATGTGAGTTAGGGTGTTTAAGAGGAGACGCTCGTGGCGTTGTGTTAGCTCTCGTAACGCTCTAACCTGCAACGGCTTGCAAACTTTCCACTAAAGCATGAAAGCGCTGCTTTTTTACGATACATGTAGCGGAAGTCGTAAAGCGGATTACGAATACCGTAGCGGGAGTGACTAAACGATCAACTAAAACTCTATTATCGCTCTGCAGTCAATAAAATCCCGTCATCAACCGATAAGACCTCCGCCAAACGAATCCAGAAAGCGCGATCACAACAAGCCACGAAGGTACATAAGGAGAGCAAGCACTCACGGGCAAGCCCTTGGGGCCGTCCAGTCCTGGAGGTCCCTTCACACCAGGGATTCCCTGGAGTCCTGGCTTTCCCTCTTCCCCTTTGGGACCTGGAGGGCCTCTGGGACCCTAGAAAGGAAACGAGTCTGACTGGCTGTCCACTATTTTCCACGGCACGGCGCGTGGCGGCCCAACTTGGATGCACTGGGCGTAAAACGCAATGTGCCTTATACGGAACACCTTACACGGAACACGCGAAATCTGCCTTTTGTCACGACTCCGTAGCTTAGCGTTCAGTGGAGCATCCCGGAGTAGTATACGTCACAGAGCCTTTGTTAAGCAACCTCAAATAGAATTCCAATTAAAAAAAATATATATCCCCATAAGTTTAGTGGCCCCTATACGTCGATCTGTCAGATGATGTCAACTTCTTTTACAGGCAAGCGGTGACCATTTGTTATTTTTTACTGACAAAAAGAAGCATAAAAAGGCCAAAATTAAACGGACGATTTCTCTACACTGGAACTCAAAGTTGTCAAGTGTTTCATCCTTCAATCGAGTATCACGAAAGAGGAAACTATTGCCCTTACGTGATCTCCGTCCCCGCCCACCGGACCGGGGGTACCAGGGGGACCGTCGTCACCTTTCTGTCCCTGAGCACCCTCGGGACCCGGAGACCCTGGAATGCCTTCACCTCCCTGAAACCAGACATTTGCCCGTTACTTGAAAAGTATAATGGATTACAATTACGATCTACCAAAACTCAAACGCAACGGATTACGGTTACAAATTACTTTCGCCGAAAGGTAACGGATTACTTTATTCGTTACGTTACAAATTACTTTCACGTTACTTTTCACGTTAACTTATCAAGAAAAAAATAAAAACAATTTTGATGTTATCATAAATGTTCTACAACAATACTTTCATTTTTCATACCCCCGCATTACGGTAGTTCGTGTAAAACTAAAAATGTTGTATTTAAGAGAAAGAATGTGGGTGCACTCCGTTCAACTGTAAGCTGACAAGTTTACAGTGGCACCACCACCGCCATCCAGCTAGCTTACGGCGGTCGGATATGATCCCAGAATTCTGCAGACAAGGCTAGCGGTGCGCATGCTCAGTAGCAGCGTCTATTTCCGCTAGGAGATCAAGAAGACAACGTCTACTCTGCGTTGTCTTCTTGATATTGATTTTTCGCATATTTGTATATGCCTTGCACTTTTTACAAGTGGTTCTAGTGACCGGATACAAAAAAAAATTTGTATTTTCATAGAGTAATCCGCTACCAATATTTGTAACGAAATCACATTATAATTTACCGCCGCAAAAAAAAGTACCGTGGCAATTACAAAGTTACTTGAAAAAGCAACGGATTACTTCCCAAGTCTGCCTGAAACGTCTCGGAACTCAGCAAGAAAGAGTAGCAATAAAGGCCCAACCACGGTGGGACGTTTTCATGCGCTTCTCCCGCGCGTCAGTGTCAGCTCGCATCGGCGCGCGTCGCTCTTAGCCGACATCTGCTTTGGCCAGATCTCAACGTCGGCCCGCGCGCCATATTGTTGAGGGTGACCTCGATCGACGCGCGCCGACACTGACACGGGGAAAGCGCGTGAAAAAAAAACGCCCCGTGTGGTTGATGCTTTAAGAGGAAAATATCGCACCCAAAAAAAGAACTTTCACTATATATACGTCACTCACCTTAGCACCTTGCGGTCCGGCTTCTCCCGGTTGACCCGCAGATCCCGGAGGACCCTTCTTGCCCACGTCTCCCTTGTCGCCTTTCGTGCCACGAGGGCCAGGAAGGCCCTGCACAGTAAGGCGGAGAGCGAAAACCACTATTAGCAGGATCCAGACCCCGACAAACCAGAGTTCCATAAACGTGATGTTAAAAATAATAAAATGTATATGCCTTGCACTTTTCTTTTTCTCTGGTGAGAACGGCCGGGAAGTTCTATTCTCTCTCCTCCAGCGCTAGCTTTCTACCTTCAACAACGTTTGGGCGTCTTGTGCACCTCAATCCCGCACGCACAGATAAAGTACGACGGAAGGCAACTAATGCGCGCTGCGGGTAAGATGTCGGAAAGCGACCGATCTCACCGTGTCCGCGACTACAGCCGTTTATTCTTTACCTGTAGACCTGGAGCTCCGGCGAGTCCAACAGCTCCCGTGGGTCCGTCTTCCCCTTTCGTACCCCTGGGTCCGGTCGGGCCTGGCGGTCCGGGTTCCCCGTCGACGCCCTAGAGTTGAAATGTCCAGAAACTGATACTGTTCAGCAGATAATGTATGATGAGCTTACGGCAACACCGGGTTCGCCTCTTAGTCCTTGTGGTCCGTGCACTCCTGGAGGACCCTAGAACAAACGGCACATCACAGGATTAGACAAAACTTATTGGTGGCACGTGAGCAATCTCGAAGACAAAATGGGGTACAGAGAGGGAGAGGGAGAGAGATAGAGATGTCGCTGGAAACTGGAGCTGCAAATGCTCGCGACGAGGGGTATTCCTGCCACAAATAAGCCCACAGAGACACCACCAAAATATTGAACCCCTGCGATGGTATTCAACTTTGAGCGATCCGCTATACGTACATATAACCAAAAAATGTACTACAAAAGCAGTTTCATTGTTCATCCTTTAGTGGATGGTATTCGTTAACTCTGTAGGTCTTATGATTTTGTACAAAGAAAAATATTATGACCGGTGGTTTTGTTTATTTCTATTTAAAGCCTTCGAGCGGGATACAAAACTTTCTTCCGGAGAGCTTCGTTTGATAAAACAAATATTCCTTAATTACCTCACTCTCCGCTAAAATACTGTTCACTCGGACAATCTTAGGAACATTTTGCTTGAACATTTCCGGACCTAAGATATTCACATTCTTCAGCCCCACGCAGGATGGCAGTTTACTTGGCACTTGAAGCATGTTGTTAGTAATGCATATTGGGAGCCACTCACGAGGTCGCCTTTTCCACCCTTGGAGCCTTTCTGTCCTGGCAGACCGGAATCGCCCTAGAAACACAACAAACTGTAAGATTACGCATGTCTAAAAATCGTTTAAATATCCAAGCTGTCGACACTTTATGATTAAGCACGCAGCTTCATGATTAGGCACTTTCAGAAAGCTTACCTTGTCGCCGTCTTCTCCTGGTGCCCCAACAGGGCCTGGTGGACCAGGAAGACCCTGGGTCAAATTGAAGCACTCACGTAAATAAATTGTTTTATTACAAAAGATCACTTTTTTTTCGTTTTGTTTTTAAATTTGATTCTCCAGCAAACACGCGTGGTGCATTTCCAGACAAGTCTTTTGTCACGTACTGTGGCACATCTGGGTAATATATTCAGGTACAGTCAAAGTTTAAGACTGTGGGTCTTTAAAGTACGAATAAGTACCTGCCTTGCCTAAAACCGAGTACCTCTTCCGGCATAGCTAACATTGCACCACTAGTTTTATGGCCTTTTATACACTGACGGACACAGCCAGGGACATCTGGTGCGCGTGGCCGCTCCTCGCGGGAAAGACGTAAATTTCACGCACGCGCAACGCACCTAAACAAAGTTTAGACAGCGTCAGGGTGACGCGCCGCAGCTTCAATTACGCATTTATCTCTGTAAATGTGCAATTGCTCAAACTCGCCAGCTAGGACGAAGTTTATTTTTGTCCGAAAGATTCCACCTACCCTCGCTCCTGGGAGTCCATCACGTCCGAGAGATCCAGCCACCCCCATGTCTCCCTACGACGACCAAGCAAAACAAAACATAAACAGATGAAACTGCTGTTAGCAGAAATGTTTTGCCGTATTTCAGCCATGTTTGAGGTGCAAGCACAAGTTGAAACCCCTGCATCTCTGAATTCTGGGCAAGTTCGTTAAGCAGTTGTTTTCCTTGTACATTCCTTTCCCAAAGAGTCTGCACTGTTCATTGAACAAAGCCATTAAAAGCAACATTTCTAAACTAAAGAAGTACTAGTCATAGTTCAGGCAGTATGGATATTATGTAAGAAGTATCCGATGTGCAGTGCAAGGTGCACTTACCTTGTCTCCTTTGGGTCCGAACGCGCCCGCGGGTCCGACTGCCCCTGCACGGCCCTGAGAGCGGCCAGAGAGGTTCCTCGTTTTAAAGGCATCTAAAGATTAATCCTTCCATTAGGAAAGCGATTGAGAATAGTTGGAAACTGCAACATCTACAGTGTACCAATTTTTCTTCTTTTGTTTTCAGCAATGATCAAAAGTTTAGACCTTGTCTCCCGCTGGTCCCGGTTCTCCAGGCAGTCCGACGTCTCCTTTTTCGCCCTGTTAAACGTCGAGAAGTACTAGTTATCTTCGCATGCACTAACATTTTTATCTCTGGTATTTTTTTTGTAACTTACCGGAGGACCTATAGTACCTGGAAGTCCGATCTCGCCTTTGGGACCTGGAAACCCCTGTAACGAAAACGAAAAGCACATGGGAGACGCTAATACGGGTAAATACGTGTTTCAATACTAGATGTTGCCAAGATAATGTCAACTGTTGTATTCGTCATACGGATCAAATTTTGAAGGCACGCAGTGTTGTAGGTGTTACCGAAAAACAAATAACGAAATACGTAACGCTACTTAAAAATAAAAGAAACGTGTTACCGACCTACGTTACCTCAAAATAAAAAAGCGCGTTACCGTTTCCGATAAAAAGAAACGCAAGTTACTTTTATGTTAGTTTTTTTTTTAATTATGAATTAACGTGTTTTACCCTTTTGACGTTACAGATATGCATAAGTTCCATATTTCAAAGCACATTATGTCCGTGCGGAAGTTACCACAATTACCTTATCTTTTTTTTTTTACGGCTTCACCTACATACTCACAAGATAAAACGCAAAGAAAAACGCAAAAAAAACTCAAACATTTACATGGGTTGGCGCTTAAAAACACGGAAAAAATTGAAGTGTAATTTTTTTAAGTCTCGAGAATAATATGTAACGAGTAGCGTAACTACGTTACACTTTACTACAAATAAGTAACGTAAGTACGTTACACTTTATCGTTTCAAAAGTTCAACGCGTACTTACAACGTTACCGGAAAAAGTAAAGCCCGTATCCGATCGCCGTTACTTGTAACGCGTTACCGCCAACAGTGAAGACACGTATTCGCATTGATAGACAATACTTTATCTAGAGCATCAACCTATTACTTACCGGGGGTCCTAAATTTCCCCGCTCGCCAGGAAACCCGGGGGGTCCCGGAGGTCCTGCAGGTCCCTTAATTCCTTGCGGTCCGATAACACCCTTGAAAGAAGAAAACAGGCCCCCTTGTTTTCTCGGCACCCCTTCTTATATACATGGGCACCAGCTTCAGCGTTCTCAAAACCTCTCTTGTGATCAGGGATTAATATGTTACATATCAAGATGTCCGTGTAGCATTATGGGAAGCGCGAAGGAAAGCACACGCCTATAGATCGAGAGTACTCGTCTTGCTCGAAGGCAAGACCTAGCTGAGTCATTAATTGCACATTACACAAGACGAGACATTGTAACGCAGAATTATTGTAAAACTACTCTGTCCCTTGAGGGTCCAACATCTGTTCATGCTCTGGGTTAGACTTGCAACAACCTAACGTTCTGGTTAACAACGCTTCGGGAATTCTCCGATATTTGGCGGAGTACTGACATTAAGCTTTCGGCAATTATTATTTTTATTTTAGGCTCGAAATGAAAGGACAACACTGATAATCATATAATAAATTCAAATAAGAGAAACATACAAATAATTATTCAGAGTTCATCCTTAAGCGAACTAAGTGAGAAGGATTCTTGATTCTGTGGCGCTTTATTATACAGGCAGTGCGATTCATCATTCAGAAGAGATTTGTTTGTCAAATAATACTTAGATCATTTCTCACGTGTTTTACTAAGATAAAATCTTACTTACTGGAGGACCTTCCTTGCCGGACGGCCCAGGAAGTCCCGTCTCTCCTGGAACACCCTGGAACAACCATGAAGGCCCGTTAGAAGGGTTGGGACAGAAAACGCATTTTAAATCGAGCAAATAAAAGCACAGCGATTGCAAAATATATTTAGAAAATGAGACATTGATTGATATAATCCAAGAATACCCTACCGGTGGGCCTGGTGGACCGATGTCACCAGACGCTCCAGATTCTCCAGGAGGTCCCTGCCAGGCATCAGTGCAAAAATTTACATATTTAGGAAGAAAGCTTTCAAACAAGGGGAAGCTGAAACTACATTTAATTCTTAATTATAAAGGCATACCACATGCCGCACGTTTTTAAAGTTGGAAACAACACCCACATCTTTCTCAAGGCAATGTTGATTTCAAATTAAATGTCAAGAATAAAAGTCATCATAGCAAAGACCTAAAAAATGTTTTCTTGCGGGCCAGATATAAAATTCGATAAACGCCAATCAGATTTAATAATCCCATCAATGTTTCTTCGACAGTGTCTCTCAGATTTCTGTCGGATACCTGTAACAATTGTTCCATTTTAATATTAAAGTAGTACTCTGAACGATACGCGACTCAAGAAACAAAATATAATACGAATCTTACCAAAGGTCCTACAACTCCAGGTGGTCCTGGGGGTCCTATAGTTCCTGCTTCGCCCTGGAAGATGAGAAGCGAATGACGCCACATGACACATACGTGACGATATGGTACCGATAACGTAAGCGTGCTTCGTGTTCGTAACTTCAACAAACTAGACGTCACCTAGCGGCAGACACGTGAAAGAAAATAAAGAGCTTCCCACCAAGAGCTCTGAAAACTGAATCGCGCTGACGGTGACAGTGCGAAACATATCAGGTTGAATAAAATACGCATCTCTACGCCTCATATACACTCGAATTTTTCTTTTAGTTTCATCTTATGTGGAACTTCCCATAGAACCCAGAAAATTTCCTAGGTATTTTAGACATGCGTGCGTATCGCGAATTATTTGTATCAAGCGCATCGCCGACTTTTTACATAAAATGCCACATGAATGGGTGCATTGCTTCACATTTCCTTGAACAATTCGTGCGACTTGTGGCCGTCTTTGACCAAACGCAGAAGCAACACGCCTTGTTTCAACAATAAAATATACATTATTACCAAAGAATCATATTCCCTGAACGTGCTGTGGTGTGCCGGTCAATAATCCCTTAATAAATAAACACAAAGGCGTAAGGTCCTTGAGATCAGTAAAACAGTTTTAAGAGTAAAGGTTGAATTCTAAAGCTTATCCAGCGGCATAAAATTGGAGATGATCACCCGGAGGCGTATTCGGTGAATAAAAGGAATGCATATCTTAAACTTGCGCCGATCACGAAAGAACCCACCGCGCAAATACCAAAATTGCTCACCGGTGCCCCTCGTTCCCCCGGTGGTCCTTGATGGCCGTCTTTTCCAGGGATTCCCTAAGACGCAAAGCGTCAAACCCGCATTATTTCCAGCAGCAACTTCTCGGAGAGGGAGCGCTTTAACATGCGGCCAGCTCGTGTTCCTATACTCACCGGCGAACCAGGAGTGCCCATGAAGCCCCTGGCCCCTTCGGGTCCTTGGGGGCCCCTTTCGCCAGGGATTCCAGATGGACCCGGCTCTCCACTGCTCCCCTGTGCAACCACCCCAATCGCCGTGTTTGCGCATGACACAAACGATAGCGATAACGCACAAAACTCCTACGTATGAAGATTAAAAAACTGATTTTTTACCTTTTCTCCCGAAGGTCCCCGCTTTCCCGCTCTGCCTCTCTGACCGCGGTTTCCCTTCACATATCAAAGAAACAAATCTCGTAAATGCGCCACAAGCACAACCTTTTTTTTAAAGTTGATTGAAGTTGGTTAAAGGTAATGCATCGCTTCGGCGCCTATAGTCAACACTTTAGAAATAGGAAAGATGAAGTAACTCGAAATCTCCGTAGTTACCCGTGGTCCGATCTGCCCTCGTTCGCCCTGCTGACCAGTGGGTCCCTAAGTATTTTACAAAAAAAAAAAAAGACCGTTAAGCACGCATCATTATTAAGATAATACATATCCCAAACAAAAAGTGATGATGATGAAATACTTGCCCGATCTCCCTTGTCTCCCTTCTCTCCTGGTTTACCGTGAAACCCTTTCTCTCCCTGAAGGAAACAAACGCCAACAATGCCAGTAGGAAAGCATCGACTGCTGCCCAACTTAGGTTTGTCGTACACTTCTATAATATTTATCGTTCATGATTAAAAAAATGAAAGAGGAATTGCGATCGGTCTTCCGATATCACATGGTTCTTCACAAAAGGGTCAACGTTCTCATGCGTACTAACACAATTACCTTCGGTCCGGATGAGCCAGGGTAGCCGGGAAACCCCGGGATGCCCAGTTTTCCCTAGAGTTATAAATAGTGATAAAAATACTCGTCTGTTAATTGAAAAGATCCCGGGTCGCCGCTGACCGGCGCATCAATGGCTGCCGTCTGCGACAACACTGACTTTTTCTCCGGCGGCTCCTGGCGGGCCTTTCTCTCCTCTTGGTCCTTCGAATCCCTGAAGATGCAAAGCACCAGAAACTAGCAGAGCGACTGAGGTACGTCACGTGCACCTTCTTTACGGTTGTCAAGGGCGACTGTGCATGCGCAGCCAAAGCACGGAAAAAGGAGAGGAGCACGTGCTGAAGGTAGGAAATCCGAGAGACACGCCCTACCGTTCTTATCCTGTCAGTAAAGAGTTTTAGTAAACCGCTTTGGACAACTCCGATTACGACACCCGACGATGATACGATTCATGCACAAAGGTGCCTACCGAGTGTCGTGGATTGTCAGTGGCGTACCAACTTGTTTTTGAGTGGGGGGGAAGGGGGGCAAACCAGCCGCCCCTCCCCCCCCCCCCCCCCCCCCCGCCCCCCTCAGGGTTGGGGGTCGGTGCCCTTGGTAGCCCTTGGGCGCCGTCGGACAGTGTTTGCCCTGCCCAGTGGCGGCTGTTTCACGGGGGGCAGAGCACATGCCTTGCCCCCGCCCCCCCACACACATACACTTTGAGAACTAGGGTGGCAAGCGTCCGCTCTTGCCCCCCTGGTTGGTACGCCCATGTGCATCGTTATCAGAGTTATCGAAACGATTTCCTAAAGCACCCCAGTGACTATACATAGTGGCGGCAGTGGTGCATTTAATCAAAAGTAGGATATAATGCCATATTGTCCCGTGCTGAGTAATGGTAAGGTCCCTATAGACCTTTCCAGCGGCAGCCTTGAACGAAGCGATTTACAGCGCTCGTCTGTGGTTGGATAGATGGATGGATGGATGGTAATGGCTATACTCTTTGTAATGGGCGGCAGCTTGCGCCACCTAGCCTAACATTTTGTCATCCCTTCTTTCTTTTTTTTTTTTAATTTGCATTAATTTTGTTCTTACACAACCCCCCCCCCCCCGCCCCCTTTAAAGTGTTTGCATTACTTATTTATTTTTTTTATTTTTATCTGTATTTTTACCCCTCCCTAGATTTTTTCCAGCAATCTTCCAATCTCCTCTAAGTTACCGCAATTCTTTCCCTGTTCATTCGTCCATCCATGTCTGCGAATCCCAGTGCCTCCACCAAATTCGTAGTCATCCTCACCAAGAGGGTGGGACGAAGCCCCGTGCACCTTAAAATTTCATGTTCTATGGTTTCTCTTTCGCGTTTGCATATGTCGCATACAGTGTCTATTTCCTGGAATTTAGCCCTATATGTTTTCGGTCAATGACCAGGCGCGACTGGGAAATTGTTTTATTCGTTTTAGAATTACTTTTCTAGCGTTTACAAACGCAAGACCGGTGTTTCTCAGGTGCTGATGCGACGTGGTATACACCTAAGCAATAAAATGATCCCTAAAATTTCGTTTCCGTTTAAGTAAAGTCAGCAAATCGCAACATGCATTCCTCCAAAAAAAAAAAAAAAAAAAAAAGATAATTCTTTTTTTTGTTAAATGTAGCGCGAAATGTAAAAAGCTCGAACGTAACGCTCCATCGCGTAAAATTTCGCGAAAACTTCCTTCGCATGTCCAGGCCTTGTAGGCGCATTCTGCATTCAAACGATGAGGCACACTCTAAAAAGAAAGTTCGTATCTTCTCCTTCCTGCAGAACACAGGTACAGCCAATCACGAAAAACAGAGAAGGACCCCCAATGAACGTCAAAGCTGATAATTCGCTTAGATATGAAAATTGCGATATGCGCATTGGACAAAGAGTAAGTGGAACATCAAGCACGTTGTTACTGCGCACAACAGAGGCTTTTGGTCTGATCGTATTATGAGCCCTGCCATTCGCTGCGATCTGTTTATTGTTCGCATTGATTGATTGTCTCGTGTACCGTAAAAAAACATATATATATATTTTTAGATTGCATTAGAAGGTTTTTAGGTTAAGACTTTTTCAGCGTCGGAGGGTTCTGTTTGTTCAGGAACGTGAACGAACCTTGGGCCCCTCTGGACCTTCGATGCCCGGAAGACCCTCGGGTCCAGGAGAGCCCTGATCTCCGTTCAGACCCTGATCGCCCTTCTGGCCATCTGCTCCCGGAGTGCCCTGAGAAGAACACAGCACAGCCGCAGTTGCAATCGCGACGACGATCAAAATAGATTCATCAATCAAATTATTCCAAAAGCGGCGCATATACTCTGTGCGGCACTGTTAACCAAAACAAACAAACGCCAGTTGTTTATTTAAGGGTTTTTTATTACAATTTTTTCGGTGGCAAAAAGTGCTCACTTAGTACACTAACCTAACAGGTAAAGTATGGTGGCTCGCCATCCCCTTTCGAAATAAGATTTAAAGATCATCGACGTCATGTTCGGACTAACTAATTCGCGCAATGAACAGAAGAGGTGACAGTACGTCTTGTGGGCAATAAGTACAAGAGGCATGGCACATTGATCTTGAAATGCATATATTCGCGGCTTTTGTGGCGTCACTAGTTTGCGAACGAGGGAGGCAAGACATATTAGAACTAAGACGCATTTACTAGTAATTGTTAAAATTTTATGACGACACAAAAGTGCGAACTGCAACGTCCCCGATTTGTTAAGATCGTGAGAAATAAAATAAGAGTAGACATAAAGGTAATTTGATGTGCCACGGGGGTAAAAAGTCGGTTGATAAATTATGATAACCTGATCGGTTGTTGATTTGCGCAGGTCGCATAAAGACTATATAATAATACCGCGCATGGATGCTATACTTACCAAACATAAGTTAAACGAAACTATATATATACTTGCGCGCACGCGTTGAACGTGACACGATAAACGCACCTTATCGCCTTTTTCTCCGACAGGACCTCTCGCTCCATCATCACCCTGTGTAGACATCGACCAGGGTCAGTCACAAACTTGACAACGGGACAAGTTGATTAGTTCAAGATAATAATGAGGAATATCTCAGACCTTAACACCACGTGGGCCAGGGAATCCGGTCGGGCCTTGGTGGCCTGCTTGACCCTTCACAAATATAAATGCAGTTCATTTTACATCTCAGCTCATCTGACTTCGCCAGGTGCAACATCGCAATTAATCTCTATCGAACAGAAAATAAATAAAATTATTATTAAATTGAAGTTGCCTTACCGTGTCACCTTTGTTGCCTGGACTTCCGGAAGTACCCGGGTGGCCCTATTAGCAGAGAGTAAATAGTAAGTAAAAAAAAACATGCAGGTACGTTTTTTCGATTTAAAATTTCTGATCAAATTAACTTATTGAAATTATTCCATCTTCGTTAAAAGAAAATCTTGAAGTGCATGGCTGCTTGACTTACTGGAAGTCCATCTGCTCCCGGAAGACCTGGAAGCCCAGGTTTTCCCCTAGGTCCCTACAAGACGTTAAATTGACAAAAAAAAAAATAGATATAATTAGAAAGAAACGGGTGGGCTTCGCAAACATGTTTTGGTAGTTTGCTTCCATCAGAAAGGAACGAAAATAGAGGGGATGAGGAAGTTTTCGTAGATGATTTTCGCCGTCCCGCAACGGCTCTCCGCAGCCCGCTACAAAACCCGAAGCTCTACAGTCAAGGCCATCGGCACGCAGGCGCAGTAGCGGCTTCTTCGCTGCGAAAGGCCAGACTTGTGCTCGTTATTTGAAAAATGTAATGGATGACAATTACAAATTGCAGAGCCTCAAATGTAATGGATTAGCGTTACAAATTACTTTCGCTGAAAAGTAACAGAAAACTTTACTCGTTACGTTACAAATTACTTTCACGATACCTTTTCCGTGCACTTATCCAGAAAACAATAGAGACAATTTTGATATTTTTCAAAAATGTTCTTCAACACTAATTTTTTTTTATTTTTCATACGCCCGTATTATGGTTGTCCCGTAAAAATAAAACGTTGTATTTTAGAGAAAGAGAGTAGGTGCCCTCCGTTCATCTGTAGGCTGACAAGGCGCCGAAAGCTACAATCACACTCGCCATCCTAACTTACGGCATCCGGAAATGATCCCTGGAATTGTGCAGACAAAGCTAGCGGTGCGCATGCTCAGTAGCAGCGCTTACCTCCGCTTCGACATTCGGAGCTAGACAAGCGATTTATGGAAGCTCCCTTTTGACTCGGGTGTTTCGCCTGTTATTCACGAGAGAAGAAAAACTTGGTTCTAACGTTACAGTGTATAGCGAATGGAGAATGCAGGTGTCCCAGCTTCCCTTGATGTGTTTCCGTAGATTAGAGTTTGTTGTTCTTGCTGATGACAATGTGTGTGTGTGTGCTTTTCTTTTTTTCAAACAAAGTGTGCCCTGAAATTTTAGGTTTCCGTTCTCCCAAATGCCCTGAATTTTGAACATCTCAGTAAGAGATCGCCATGGAGACGGACACTCCATGACCGAAAACTCGACCAGTCAAAGAAAAAGTGGTGGTTACGGGTTATGAATCGTTCATCGGTTCTCACTTTCATACCAATATGCGTGAAAGCCAGGGGAGGGGAGGGCACGGAGAGCGAGAGAAGCGGTGGCCATCGGTTTCACAAAACAATAGAGGATCCCACCACTTTTACGCGTTCCATCTCTCTGTCAGCACTCCTTAGATGGCCTAGCCCCCCCCCCCCCCCTTTTTTTATGTTGACAGTTGACTGTAAAATGAGGAGTGTACTCGACCACCATGCCGAGACAAGTAAATCAAAAGAAGTATTGTTTGTATCCTCGAATATGATGTTTTTAGCCTCATGCCGGGCGCTTTTCAGACGTGTTTCAAGAGCGTGCTTGAGTAAAGTAGCGCGCATCAAAGACAAAGAGAATTGAACCCCTCGCGCACGGCTACATCCTCAGTTACGCGAGTTGTGAACCCGCGAATCGAGCTGGTGCGGACTGGCGTTTGATGTCTGTGCAGGTGGCGGGAGACGTCGAAGAAGTTGGAAAGGGTGAAACGATGTAAAAGACGAAAAACAAATGAACACGACGAGCTTTCTTTTGCCCGGGAGAAGAAGAAAAACACGATGGAAGGCGACGGAGAGCCTACTCGGCGTCTGTCTTACTTGATCTTTGTCTTTCGTATATTTGTACATGCCTTGCCCTTTTTTTTTAGTGGTTATAGTGACCGGTCGTACAAAGAGTCGTGTTATCTTTTTGGCTGTTCAGCCCTCCCTGATGGTTTCTATTTTGTTGACCTTGCTCTCTTTATGCTGCTGAATGTTCTGCTCGTATTGCTCCAGTTACTGTATAATGCTCATATTGTTTTAAAAGTAACGAGTAATTAAAGTAATCCGTTACCAATATTTTGTAACGAATTAAAAATTACAAATTACTTCCGAAAAAAAGTAATGTGGCAATTACAAAATTACTTGGAAAAGTAACGGATTGCAAGTACTCCGTTACTTGTTACGGATTACTTCCCAAGTCCGCGGAGGGCTTAGCTGAGGGGGTAAACGCGGTCGACGAAAACTCCCTATTGTGACCATGCCAAAAGAAAGATTTCTTACCGACGGCCCTAAAGGTCCCGGCAACCCCTGCGGTCCAGGCGGGCCCTTGCACAAGCAAAAAGAAACAGTTATGGTATCGCCCTACACAAATACCGTTCCAAGTACTACGACAAAACTCAGTCACACAGTATAGTGCATTGCTGTTATTATGACATTTCTACGGCTCACTAGTCTACTTTGCTGTGGCTTTTTTTTTTTTTCTATCTCTCCGAATTACAGTCGAGGTTTTTTCATGAATTAGCATGTGGACAATATGATGGCGGCTTTCCGTATCACAAAAACAGAAAGCTCAAAAACAGAAAAAAAAACAGCCACAGCAGAGACTCTAATTGGAAGACGTTGCGAAAAAAAGTCTCATCCCGGAACGTCTGCCAATTAAAGTCTCCGCTGCTGCTCTGACTACATTATTATGTGAAAGTTTTTATAAATACATTTCATAAAAGCATATAGAAAAATACTGACGACTGGTCCCTGTAGGCCTTGTTGACCCGGTTGCCCAGCTTGACCGGAGGGACCCTGAAATATTTAGAAAATATGCGGTAAACACATCGAACATTTTGACCCTAACCGAGTGGACTATGATCTCGCGTTAGTGTTTCCCTTATTTAGCACATAATTTAGTGCTAAACAACTTTCATGTCTTACCGGGTTGCCTTTTGGTCCAAGTGGTCCTTCAGAGCCTGGTATCCCCTAAAAAGAAAACAGATCCTCGAGTAACGACCATTTCTAACTAGTTCGCAGTTGTTTTTCACTTCTAATTTATTTCTATGGTTCACTTTGTCTATAGCAATCCTGTTTTACCTATTGGGAACGGAAATTACTGGCGACAGGTCTGAGCATGGCAAAGAACTATAAAGTCCAAGCAAGGACAGGAACTCCAAAACCGAAGGGGGGGGGGGGGGGGGGGGGGGGGGCAGTGGGGCAGTTACTTCCACAGGTTTTAAACCGGTGGGGGCATGCACCCGCAATAACTTCTGTTCTGACCGTCCCCCCCCCCCCCCCTTTTTCTCCCCTCTCACCACCCGTGAGGCTGTTGCATGTTGAAGCTGTACTCCATAAACGAAACTAACGATGATTTTGGAAGCTTTGTTAACCCGTTCGTTTGAAGTTGTCATTCATTGTTTGTCCAATTTGTGCGTTTTCACTAATAACTCTCCGAAGATTCTATCAGACTGTGGCCTTCGTTTCTCTGCACTACGCTTCGTCAGTGGTCGTTGATATATGTATATATATTCTAAAAAAAAAGCGCGTGCGCCTACTTTCCCGCACAACACATGGAGAGCCAATCAGCGCAACGTACGGAGGCACCTCAGCGAATGACGATGCCGAAACATATGTTTAGATCAAAAACGTAGTTCGAGTTGTAACATTAAGCGATGCAAAACGTCACGCTTGCATTGCTTAATGTCACAACTCAGACTGCGATTGACCTGTTCTTGGCATTTTTGAGAGATATTGATGAATACATATATATTGAAGCAAATCAATACCGGTGGTCCAGGGAGTCCAGAAAATCCTCTGGGACCCGGAAATCCTCTTGGTCCCTACAAGCAAAGAAGGGAGGTATTACGTTCAGCCGGATACCCTAAAAGTAAAACACTCTTATGCTACAAAAGAAGGCAGCCATAACGTACCATTTCACCCGATTGTCCCGGAAGACCTTGTGGACCTTCGTCACCCTGAACAAAAAAAAAATAATCACAAGTAAATTTATGTCGCTGATTTCTTTCTTTCACACCTACGAAAGTACTTTCTATTGTTCCCCAATCCAGTATTTCTCGACAACATGTATGAAACGAACGTTAGTTGCCTAACCAAACTCCTATCCCAGCTTTTTCTTCTTTTTCTTTCAACGTTTTTGAATTTTCGCTGTCTCGACTACCACGCCGCTAGCTGTTGCCTCAAATTACTGTTGCTTTAGTTCTCAGTCCTGTCGATCATCTTTAGCTCCGACAGTTTAAGATACGTAGGACGTGGCTCATGTTCCCACTTCTTGCGTCATGATAGGTTCATCGGCGTTTTGATCAACTAAGGCCGTATTTTTATTGGCTGCGGAGCGATAATGAGATGTCAGGAACTGGCCACTCTCTGCGTTTCTTACCAGTAACTACATAGTGTATTCAATTCGGAGGACCGACTCGGGCAGAGTGACTTAATCATCGACGCAGTAAGTTCGCTATGATCCAGAATTAACTTGTCATTGGAGTGACCTTATCGTGACTCTAAACGCAAAGCAACTCGGGTGTGAACACTGCCGCTCCAAGTAAACAAAATCTCGCGACCGAGTGCTTCGAATGACGGAGCGGAGCCCCACCTGTGATCCGTCGTGACCCTGAAGGCCCTGGTCTCCGGGCGCTCCGACGTAACCCTTGAGAGTTCAGAGAGGAATACATTGTCAGCGGAGGGAACGGATGTAGCGTTATAATTGGCATTTTACAAAGTATAAAGCGATACATGTAAGGGGACTTGGTGGGAATGCTGACCCTTTCACCTTTCTCGCCAGGCAGACCGGGCAGACCGGGAAGACCGGTGTCACCCTGCAAGAACGCGGCAGTGGGGGCGGTTCACATCATCTCTTGTCCGTCGCGGAGAGAAGCGGGGAGCGTGCACACAAACTGCACACAAACTATCTCAGACCTTCTTCGGTCCGCCCTCACATTTAGATAAGAGTGTAGTCATTACATTTGGTTTCACTCGAAGTCCAACCGCAACCGATACTACCATCCGATGATCCGATGGAGTCAATCATGCACAGTGAACTGCCCCATGATCTTGCGCTTTTTATTGTTTGTTTGTTTGTGCGTGATTGGTGTACCCGGATGTAGCAAACGTGCAAAGATGACGAGCGTTGTGACGATGCCTATTTGGTGTTCTTCGATTGGCTCCGTCGGCCCGTATTGCGTATAACGTGAAGCAGAGTATGCGTTCAGTAAGGAAAAGAATTCCAATACGAGCAGTACCAGGTCGTACAGGCCAGTAGTGAACTAGATGATACATGTATTAAAGTATTTGAGGCATCGCACAAAACAGAAAAAAAAAAAAAAAAAAAACTACTGACCTTGGGGCCCATGGGACCGGGTTTCCCTCTTTCGCCGTCTTTGCCTCCGCGACCCTGTAAGAATAATAAAGCGACAACAGACCTGCGTAAACGTACAGCGGTGCTTCTGATGAATATCGAAAGGTAAGGTTCGAAACTCTCGACCGCTGAGAGAATTTGGTTTGGGAAATCATACGGTCACAACTCACGCGTCTCCCTAGTCTTCCAGGGGTCCCTTGCTGCCCACGTACTCCTCTTGACCCCTTGAAGACAACGGCGGACATGTGGTAGGGTGAATAGACGAAGCAATTTTTTTCATTCACCTTTTCCAAGCACCAATTTAAAAAAAAAAGAAACACACACAAAAAAAAAACCTACGACTCTCGACCCTAACGGTAAGTAAACTTCAAACCCAAAAATATCAAATACAAAAAATAAGGAAAACAAACTTACCGTTGCACCTGGTTCGCCGCGCTCTCCTTTCTCACCGGGAGGACCCGTGGGTCCCTACAATATTTATAGGAATAAAATGTGCGAAAATTTGACGCGCAGCTGAAGGAACAGAAAAGGGAATTAAATATGATACATTCTTCCTACGACTGTTTGAGTAACTGAATTATCACGCCAACATAAGGCTACACATTGTTTCAGAAAAGACGTTTTACCACAGGTCCGTGGAGTCCAGTGAGACCCATGGCTCCAGGAGCTCCTCGCATCGCCATCTACAAATAACGGCGGTAGTAATGTTAAAACATTTCTGTTTAAGATGTCTAAAATGTAGAGACTGTGGTGAAACAGGCTAACGAATTTCTTAAAAAAAATCAGCAACAGAAAACAAAAACGTAAAGTAATACATAGCCTACCATATGCTGACTCAACATTTGCCGGAGTGCTTCTGTGTTGTCCGGACCCTTGGTGTCTCCTGCTGTCTGGTACTATGTAAGGTGAAGTGCGATACACAATTAGCCCAAATAAACACAAATTCGGGTTTCTCGCACTTTGTGCGTGACTGTAAAGTGCGCAATGACATGAGCCTGGTGACATGCGCACGCAACATGTAGAGCATAAGCTTGCAAGATAAGGTTTCATGATCGGCCCAGGTTTCTAGTCTCATCCCAGACTTGTGCCACACACTCCAAGAACTGTGGCAGTGTTCACCCGCGAAGAAATAAAATATCCCAGGTTTGTCAAATACTGGACCTTACGTCAGCGTTTTTTGTTATGTAGTTGAAGATGGCGCACATTTAAAACTCAAATACTGCACACCAATTTAATGTATAAAGGCCAATGTAATAAAAGAAAAAAAGATAGCCTCATGTTATAGTTCTTTTCATGGCGCAGCAAATCCAACGTGTTTCAGGCATTGAGGTGCTCGACCTTCAAGGATGTGAAATAAGCAACAACGAAATTTTTTTTTCTACAGATAAACATTGTGTTAATAGAAGTCAAGCTTATGTTTTAGACCGCGGTAAGTTACGGTAGTCTGCCTCAGGGTGAGTCTAGGTCAGTAAATCGACCAGTGGAGTACGGCTGCTAACTTGGGGTCTTTAACGTGCATCAAGCAGTGACACAGGCTGAAAGGAGTTTCGGTGACTTCCACTGGTGGTTTCTGCACCTGACGTCACGACCAGGATTTGCCTCACCGTGAACCGGAGATTGGGCAGGCATTATCAGTGTCCAGGAAGTTATGGTTTGGCCAATCGCGAACTTCGACCACAGCGGTGCTTTTGGTGGCGCACGTCGCTGACACCAGCTTTTTTTCATTTTTGTTCTGGATGGGCATCGTACCGGCGTACTGTCGTTTAATCACATTCGTGACACACGTTCGAAACCCGAGGCAATCAGTTGTACTGCTGATAACTTTCTCGTGCACATCATGAACCCGTGTCGCCATTTCTCAAAGGCAGACCGAGGTCTTGCTGTCTAAACCTTCTACAGCTCATCTGCACTGCATTTGCGTGAGACCTATGAAAATTAATTATGATGAAGACGCAGCGACCATTTCAAACAATGGCAGCGACGGAAAAAAATCGAAACTTGACGTGGCCACTGTGTCTCTAACCGGGATCATGAAGATGTGACCAGGAGCGCCGGGCTGTCCCGTAGTCCCCGCCAGTCCATCCCTGCCGGGGTCTCCCTGAAATATCGAGTGTAGGAACCTTCACGAGAGGCATTCGTGTAGCGTGAAAGGACGCTCGATTAAGATACGACTCAAACGTAAACTGCGAACAACCAGAGTCCTGACCTTTTCGCCCTTGGCTCCAGGTAGTCCGTGCGCTCCAGCAAACCCCTGTGGTCCTGGAGGTCCCTGTAAGGGTGTGCGCAGAAACAACTTTGTTTCTGCATCTGCACATACGACATTACACAGCCGATGCCATAGCCTTCTCTTGACGTCGAAGACGTGCATACGAAGCCCACATAAACCCCACTGAACTCTCAGCCGCACGTGCGTCAGTGCATAAGGTGTCCTTGCGCGTTGCCCGCATAGTATTCATCAACTTCGTTTCACCCTTAAGGTGCTCTGAAAAGGTTTCTGAGATCGCCTAAATATGTCAATAACTCACAAGATATATGCTGGCTCGAAGCATCCAAGAAATCCTTAAATCATGAACGCAGCCGATTTCCCTATTAGAAAAACAATCAAATATTGCAACACACAGAGGTCATCTCCGCCGAAGGGAGGCGTATGTTCCAAAACCAGGACCACTGTCAGCCAATAGCGAGCGAAGGATCCTCGCGCCTTCGACCGGTGGAACCGCGGAGTGATATTTCGAATGCGCGCGGGTCTTTGCCCATATATCCCGGACTACAATTCAATACCGAGAGTGCGGGCGCTCGGGAGTTGACGACCGGACACATCACTCGCGCGGAAGATTAAAAAAAAACAAAAAAAAACATAGTGCGCTGTTATTGGCACCATTATTGAAGTATTATGTTCCCTCCCCGCAAAAAATCATTTTTTGACTACTCTTATTTGCTTTTATCATCTACAAAAGCGTACACACTTTGTAATAACAGTGTTTGCCATCTCAACAAAATGTCGCGTTTTCATTGGTCACATGTCGTCCTGGCTGCCGGGACAATGCTCTCCCATCGGTGGAGATGACCTCGGTGTGTTCCATTTTTAATTGTTCTGTCTGTTTGTTTTTGTGTGTGTGTTTTTAATAGGGAAATCGGCCGCGCATTGTTGTGATTTATGGATTTCTAGGGTGGAGCCCGAACAGTCAGTTATCACCATATTTAGGCGATCTCAGAAAACTCCACAGGGCACCAGCACACGCCACGAGCCACCGGAATCAATCTCGAACCTTGATCCCGACGCGGGACTTTCCAGTTGAGTGAATAAGTACGCGGCACGAACGAAGCCCTGGATTGGTTTTGACGGATCGTAGTTTCCGCTTCGGTTCATGTAACATAAAAGCGCTGAACTCTAGTTTTTGTCAGTCATTTTCGACTGCTCGACCAGACGCACAAAGAGGGCTGGCGCTGACCTTTTCGAGAGCCTGCATGGTCATATACCGCGCTACTAAACGGCTTGTTGCTGTTTTACCGCTTACTTCAACAGTATAGTAGTTGTAGTTGGTGTGGCCCGGGTAGCTCGGATACGTCGGGTAGACGGTTGTGCCTTCCCCATCCGGGAAAATGGGTGCTTCCTGGAAAGAAAAAATAGAAAAAATTAAACTATGCAGGGTGCCCGATTTTACAGCGGAGCTGTTAAGGGCCAGTTTCCCCAGGATCGTGTTCCCTGCAAAGAAATGAAGACACCGAACTCTGGGCACCTACCGCCATCTATGAGCGACGGCGGCAAGCCACGTACCTGGTTGCCGCCGTCGCTCATAGATGGCGGCAGCCTTTTCACTCTGGCTGAAAAGCCAGAGTGAAAAGGTACCAAATGGAGAAAGCGAACTAGAAAATTATCAAGCAAATATTTGGGCGGCAGTGGGGGCGCCAACCAGGAATTACGGGTTAAGAAAAGGATAAAAGAAACAGAGAAGGGTCTGTGGGAAACGGGTATGCAGACAAAACCAGCACTGGAGACGTACAGAATGTTCAAACAGGAAATTTGCAAAGAAAATATCTACGATAATTCTAGGGGAAGCTCTTTATTGTTTGAGGCCAGGACAGGAGTATTGCGGACTAAGACGTACCGGGTTAAGTACCAGGAGATGGACACTTTATGTAGTGTGTGTGGGGAGCAGGAGGAAACGGCTGAACACTTAATACTTTTCTGTAAAGGGCTTCACCCAACAGTTAACAGTGACCGGGCGGATTTAATCAAAGCATTGGGTTTTAAAGACAGTGAAGGAAAAATAGACTTTACACGGGTAGAAATAACCAAGCGGAGGTTATCAGACTGGTGGCTAAAATCGAGGCAGGGGTGAGATTTAATCTTGGAATTCAAAACATATTAGATTTATAATGTTGGCTAGGTGGCGCAAGCCACCGCCCGATTCACAGGGTTTAGCCAGATCCATCCATCCATCCATCCATGGCTTGCCGACTTGCGGCCGGCCATTACTTTCCATTGTACAGCTCCGCTAGTCATCCTTCGTCACCAAAATAAAAAGGCAGAAAGTTTTGTTTTTAGATTTTTTTTTTCTAGACAAAAAAGGGCGACCAGTACGTCTTCACTGAATATCGTGCACGGCGGATATTAGATGCTCACTGGTACGATACCCGTTACAAGTAATCAAATTACTTCGAATCAATTACTTAGTATAATTTCCTAATCATTTGATTACTTTTATTCGTAAGTAATCACAAGAGTAATCTGATTACTTTTGTAACTGTTAGTACATCTCCGTCGCCTTTTTAACGGCACACTTTGTTTCTACAAGTTTTCCACGAGGGAATCCTCGAGTCTAGATCTCTGGCGGGAGGATGGTCTAAAATAACAGATGCATTGAGAAGATGACGAGTAGTTTGTAATCCGGTTATTCAAATTCAATATTCAACAGAAAACCCGTCTTTAAATCGGTAGAAAAACGTGTCGTTTCAGAAATCTGAAGTAATCAGAAAAGTAACGAATACCTTTTTCAGGTAACGGTCAATTACTTTTACTGTCAAGTAATCGAGTAAGTATAAATGAACATAGTTTTAACCAAGAGTAATTGTAATTGCAATCAATTACTTTTTAGTAACGATTAGATGGGAAGATAGCCGTCACGATCAGTTGGCTAACTAACCAAAATTTGTTAATTAACGTATTAATTAATGACGGGTCGGGGATCCACTAACGATGACGTCATGCCCAGGCCTTGTCTTCTGAAGGTGGTATCGACTGGCGCCCTGCTAACATGATGACGTACCACGGAGGTAGACCGGAGAGGAGGCTGTTCACAGGCTCTAGTCATTTGCTTTAGTTTTTCCAGGCAGAGACCTATTTCACTAGGGCGCCGCCATCTTGAAATGTCGTCACTTCCAGTATGGGCGATAACACTGTTTTGCCGTCGCCTCGCCAATAGAATGTATTTAGGATATAAGCGTATCCGTCACCCATTCACGTTTTGTCTCCCCTTTCTTTTTCAACTTGTTGCAGGTTGAATTTTTTTTGTCGCTTATACAGGATACGTTTACGTTTCTGGCACTCCGTCGTACCTCGGTAGCACGCCGTCGCCGTATTCACCAGGGACGCGCTGCCCAAATAACGAAGACGTGGTGTACACAACTACGACTACCGTCATTGACAGCTACGCAGGGCATGTCTTAATATGTTTAAACCTTCTTTGCTTCGGGATTGGTCCTTGAGCGTTCTTATGGGCCAATGCCGCAATATTATTGGCTGCGGAGTGATGGCGAGAGAACTCACCACGCCTTGCGTTGCTGTCAGTGACTATAATGAAGAAAAACCCAGCGCGTTTCCCAGGTTATGACCGTCAAGGACTCATCGAAGCAGCCTGACGATGAGACGGGGCTGTCAACGCTCGTCAAATCACCTTGACAGATCGCGAGTGCCAGACGTGTGTAATGAGTGAGTGAATGAAATTGACCGTTTCGTTTCCGGAGTCTCCCCCGGGCCCCGGCTCCAGATCGAGGTCGGTCTTGTTGTAGCCCAGGTCCGTGTAGTCTCCGTCGACGGACGGCAGCGGCAAGTCGCAGTTGGGCATGTAGGCGCTGCACTGCTCGTACGCCGAGTCGGGGGTGGGCACGATCAGCAGCTGTTGGATGTCGCCCTGCGCAGCGACAAGGATACTCGTCCATTCCGATGTTTACAGCTACAGCGCGTTATTTGTAAAGCTTACAGAACTTTAAAAAGAACGCTTATGAGTTCACTTTCCTGCATAACAATGAGACAGCCAATCGTGGCGAACAATAGAAAGACCCCATGCGAATGACGAAGCTCAGAAGATTATTATATTTAAAAATGGCGACGTGCGCAGCGGCATACCTCGATGCTCGGTGTGGACATCGTATTTTTTAGATCTAGTCGTATTCTGAGCTCCGACGTTCGCTGGGATTCTGGTGTTGTTCGCCAGCTGATTGGCTGTCACCGTGTTCCGCAAGAAAGTGAACTCCCACGGGCTTCTTTTTTTTTTTCCCTTTTTTTATAGGGTGTGCACATTTGCGTGCTTTAGACGCATCTGTGCAGTAAAGATTACAATTATGCAGCACTTTGTGAGCTATTGTGTAATATTGGAGAAATAGCCCAGGGTCAATAGCAAAAAATATTTAGTTTACTGGTTATGAATAAAATTAATATAGGTATAGTTTGTCTCTCTGGGCCCGTTTGCTCGAAGCAGGTTAACTTTAACCACGGAAGAAAGTCAACCGCCTTTTTCTACGAGGAGGAATTTTAAGTCGCGTGACCGGCAGCTAGAGTAGGGACGGCAAGGAAATATGGCGGTGCCCCAGCCAGCGAACTTCGCTCGCTTTGGAACTAATACACTCTAAGAAAAAATGGAGGAAAAAAGTAGCAACGGCGCGCCTTCCTCCCTTCTACCGACGCGCCCCCAAGCGGACACGAGAAAAGGGGAGGAACGAAATGTTTTTCTCCTTCTCCAGGCAGACGGGAGAAAGCTTTCGCCCTCCCGACTCATCGTCTTTCGGTTTCGTTTTTCGAGCAGGTCGCGCGCGTTGTTTCATAAATAGCTGTTGAGTTGATTGAGCTCCAGCAGCAGCGAAGGCCGCCTGTAATTCCATCTTCTAGTTTAAACGTGCAGAACATTTCGGTTGCATTGACGTTTTTATCACTAAGTTTATCAAACGAGCAAACGAAGCCGCTAGAAACAGCGAAGTTCGGAGCAGTGCCGGCACGGCAGCGCCACGTACACTGGGGGATGGCCGTCTCCGGATTGCGTGGCTCGCGCGGCACGGAACGACGGAACGACGGAACTACAGCCACTGCAGGCTGCAGCACTACAGACTACAAGCGAAAGCACGCGGAACTGTGTCGACGTTTTCGACGTTATGGAAACTGCAGGAACTGCGTCCAAGACAGGCAGGCTTTGCTGCCGGCTGCCTGGGTGCCTTCCCCCCTGAGTTCGGTTCTGTTTTCCGATGCCGAGTGGAACCGGCGTTCAACGTGGTTTTGTGTTTGTGCGTGTCAGCAACATAGCTGCAACATCGTGATGACAGTGTTGGGTTGTGAACAGAAGACTGGAATTATCGCCGATGTGACCATGTGTTCGCGTATCAGTGGTGTAACAAGAAGATGAGATCGTAAACTGTTGGGCTTTGATGCCGCTGGTCGGGTTGTGATCGGAGGGGGCGGGGTGTCGCAGGTTGACATTCCGCTTTACATTAAAAAGTTTAATACCACTTGAGGGATTACGTGCAATCGATCAACGTGCGGATAGTCATGTTGGAACGCTGGTCTGAACAGTAGAAGCTCCTACCGTACAGTGGCCAATGTGACTGTCGGAATTGTCTCGTCCCCGACAGCGATTGCGCTCAGGGGCAAGGACTGAACATTACGAAAGCGTGACGTAAAGTGCGTATATTTACAGTATGGAATTTCGGCATTAAAAACAATGGTAGGTAAAATCGAAAAAAAAGCTACCCTTTATTTTGCTGTTTAATTATACTACGGTTGCTGGAGAAACTGCCCTCCGTGGCGCGCTGGGATGAGCGCTAGAAGTTTTCGGGCTCGCCACGGCGTAGTTCCGTACACTTAACACCTGCCGCAAGTCGCGGCTTTGACTGCATTCAAGTTGATCGAAAAGCAATTTCTCAGTCCGTGAAGCATCACTTCCAGCTGACTGAATATCCACTCTACAGAGATTAATTCAAACGGCAATTGCAGCTTCGCGCGAACAGCACAAATAGAAAAACAAATAGAAATACAAGCTACGACTTGCCGTGTGGGGAAACAAACTCATGGCTTCGAACCGCATTGGAGCGGCTTGATTTATTGGCGTTCAAATAATTACGGTATGATTGAGCGTTTACTTTTTAATAAGAGATTCAACCCCTGAGCCATTCAAAATACTCTCAGAGGTATGACATTGCAGGGAAAAAATCAACATGCTGGGAATATTTTTTATTGCTTAGGGAGTCACCGAAAAGTTCCGCACGTTCAAAACGACCAGTATAAAAGACGGAAACGCAGAGCACGGGTGTAGTGTTCGGGTTAGTGTGGTGTTACGTTGTATTGATATTTGTGTGTGCAGTGGATGTGCTTAATGTATGTTCACCTGATGCTTGTAATAAGTGTATGGGTGTCATGTGTGTATAGTAGAGGGTCCTCAAGCACAGTAGTGGCCTGAGAGAAGCAAATTATTTTTTGTAGAACATGAATTGGGCGGTACCTAGCGCCACCTAGCCTAGCTACCTGCAATTACTCTGCTTGACCCCGCCATCTGGTGGCTAGCGATTTAACCTTCTATCACGCTACGCGATAAACAGCGGCTGCAGCGGCTTCGAGTTCGTTCTTTCGAGAGCGGCTTTTGGTTTCGCGGAGTGCGTTTGCCCTTCTCCGTGATGTGCGGTTGACGAAGGAATTGTGACTCGAGGAACACCAAAGGTAAGACGCAAAGTGCGCGAAGTAACTAGGTATCGGTTGTCTCCGTTTAACATCGCAGTGCTGTCGACGAGAAGACTGAGTAACTGCTTTCGAAACGCAGGTGTCTGTACCTGTGGGGGGAGTCTGGCTTCGGAAATAAACACAGTTTCCGGAAAGCTCGTGTTACGCTTTTATTTGCTGCTGCTCTCGTCCCGTACAAGAGACGTAGCGTCCTCGTTAAGCCTTATTGGGCTCGATTTTCTCGATTCGGGGCCGCCATATTGAGATGCAAGCGACGGTGGAACTTTGCTCCCCTGCTTCAGGGACGAAGGTTTCTCCCTTTCTAAAGGAACATAGGTTACAAGACCGTTCCTCCCGTAAGGGAGGACTATCCGTACCCTTTTTTCTAAGAGTGTATAGCGTAGTCTCTGCAATATCGGACACGTTGGTCAGCAGTGAATGGTGTAGGAGGCTTTCGCTTCGCATTACGTAAGGCAACAGCTTTCACTTATATTATTAGTGATATGTGTGATTTTGCACACTGGTGCCATTTGCAACCAAGCGGTACCACTTGAGGCCCAAGTAGTACCACTTCGTTTGTAAGTGGCACCACCTGACTTGCAAATGGTACCACTTGACTTGCAACTGGTACCACTGGACCTGCAAGTGGTACCACTTTAAAGCAAGAGGTACCACTTGAAATACCACTTCACATTTTCACCTGGGACCTCATTTAAATTGCACATCATGTGCAATATTTTCGCCCCATTTGTTTAGAACGTCTTTCGATTCTGGACATTCCTAAGCCTAAAGGGACGCGGTAATTGTCGACATGGCAACGTCTTTGGAATCCTAGTGGATTGTCTTTTCTTGACCGGCCGGGCATTGATAGCGCAGAAGCAGACCGCGAACCAATAGACCTTTTGCTAAATCACCCAAGCGCCAAGGAGCACGCTACGAGTGTGGTTACACGCGCTGGACGTGCTGGCGTCTGCAGTAGTAACTATTTTGAACAAAAGCCCAAAACAAATTTTACCTTACACGCACGTTCGTCAAAACCTTATTTTGGTTATTTGCTTTGAATCTTTTATACGGGAAAGGCGGCCGCGTGTGGCGGGTAGAATAGCATCTCCAGCATTCTACTTGATGTTTGGGCAAATTAGCAATAAGTATATTTTCACTGGAGCCGAGGCATGCGATTTTCATTTCATAAACAAGGTTTTATCTACAGTTCTTACATGCTGGCCAACCATGTTGCCGGTGTGCCGCCCGCTTCTCACTGCTCACTTCTTCTTTATCGTATCTACCTTTCAACTTCGTCGACCTCTTTCGAACTTAGAAGGTCTCGACGATGCTTGTCTTGGCTTCAAACAGCCACACATTAAACAAATTTCCAAGCAAGGGCCGATTTAGCTTTACCTTATCCATTGTTTGTACCACGAGCAAAGAAAAAAAAAAGAAGAAAACACAAAAGTATTCTGCGTTGCGTAGTGAAAACCCGGCACCGCGCGTTCTTGGGGGGTCCCTCCTTTTTAGAAACTTTACCATGAAAGCCACTTATATTCGCTCCAACCAATAGGTGACATTACCTAAACACCTCACAATAAAGCACAGAGCTATCGCACATCCAGCCCTCGTCAAACTTGGCTAGGTACTTGTACATACCTATACTCTGTTTCACCTTATGTTGAACCGCAGCGAAGGCTAGAAGCGCGAGCTCATAGCGTTGGCAGCTGCCCTTAATGCACGAAAGCTTGTGCCGCGGAAATGTTCCCTAGAGCAAGGAGCTCGCGCCTGTAGCCTTTCCTGCCGCATCATAAGGTGAAACAGAGTATAGTAAGGAAGGGCGGTTAAGAGTTCACCGGCTTCGAGCAAGCGGGCCCTGGACGGCAGTGTCACGTCTCGAACGCTTACAAAGATACCTCCTGGAGTTGTTCATACCGGACACTGCTGCAACTTAGAAATGATAAAGGAGCAAAAAGGAACTCCGGGTGATCATCAATGACTATTAATCAATCATAATGGCGTTTTAATTGAGAAGTACGGACTCGTCGACACACTCGTCCCCGGAATCCGGATACGTTCCTGTGATCGGCGGAACAGCTCTTGAGTTTTACGTTGTTGCTGTTGTTGTTTCTTCACCTGGAACATGGCGGATTTTGAAGCGCAAAAAAAAGGTGACGTCACGGATTTTGTAGGAGCTTATCCGGGAACATGTTAGCTGTGTGAATACATCTTTAAGTCCGGGTCATACTGCTTACACATCATACAAAAGACAGTCTGCGTACAGATTCGAACGCGAGCCACCGCGAGATCCGTGCTTCGAATGCCGCATGGCAATGGATTCAAGGAGAAACTTGGCCCGCGGCGTTTGAACCACGAATATTGCGGTGACTCCTGTTTGCAGACTGTTTGTAGACGGCCTGCCTGCGAGCAAAGACGAACAAGGTGACTATCACGACGCACCTGGTACACCTCGTCGTCGTAGAACTTCTGGCCGATGAGTATGATGCCCGAGTGGTCAATGAGCGCCTCGTCCGACCGGTCGATGGCCTCGGTTCCTCGGACGGCGCAATCCTTCACCAGGGTGACAGAGTTTCCCTTGACGCTCAGCGACAGTCGGTGCCACCTGTGAATGGTAGCATTTGTAGCGTAAACTATTTAACACTTACTTCTTACTTTCCTCACTGGAAGCCCTTGAATTTGTTTTTTCACTGAGGTATAATAAACAACCATGAACTTCAATCATGACTCATAAGTTAGTAATTATCCCCTGCCGCGTGTTGGAGTATACAGGGATTCTAAGTGACGTCATCGCTTTATGCTGGTGGTCATCCCTAGTTGTTCTTGCAAAGGAAAAGGAACTGTTTTTCTTTAAAAAAGCAAAATACCTTTTTTTTTTTTTTTTCAAAATGTGTGCTACACATGCTCTCAGTTACAAGGCCATGTCCGCTGATTTGACATAAATGCAAGCCTGGTATTAGGGCAACAAAGCGACAAACACCGATTTGAAACACGTAAAATACACTTTGTTAAAAGCATGTTTTACACATGAGCGTCATTGAATTGCCCAAAACGAGCGTTTTTCTAAACGAGCCTGGCGTTACAGTTCGCTCTTATCGTCGGTTCAAAGTCAAGTGTTGATGCCCATCACTAGGACTGCGAGTGCGAGCACGGCATGCGCATGAGCGCTGCATCAGCGTTTGGCTGGGAATAGAGTCCAATCACTACGTTTCGAGACGCTTGACTTCGGACACAGACCGTACCGCTACATCACCATCGTCGTCGTGTACTGTAAAAGAGAAGGAAGCGAGCGGGCCTTGCCTAGGGAGCCTTCATGTGCGCTTTGCTAGGGTGATGCCACCCTTTGTAATACCACTCGCCGACAAACCAGCAGCCATTTTGATTCTCGGCGATAATCCGTGGGGCTTATAACCCTCCCGGAAACAAGCACCTTATCTCAGAAGTTCGGAGCAGCGTTGTGGAACCCACGGAGGGAGGATTAGCATTTTCCCCCTCGGATGGGATTACCGATGGACACAAAGGCCACTTTCCGGCGCACGGGGAAACAATGAGGGAAACAAAATGGCGGTGGAAGAGGGTGTGGGAAAGGGAAACAGGCAGTTGGCATCACTCTATGCGAAGCGCACATGAAGGCACTCTAGCCTTGCCTATTGTAATTACACGTGAGGAAATGTCCGAATTATAATCCGTTCACCCTTAAGCTGAGACTACAGTCAATCCCACAAGTAGAAGAGCTCGAGGTCGCTGCTTTAAAAGCAGTTCTTCCACAAAGCGAGCACTTGCGCTAGAAATGCACGTTTCAAAGCTAGAAGCACGGGTTAGCTCGCGTTTATAGCTTTGGCTGCAAGAATAGAAAGGTGTCCAACGGGCGATTTTTATTCACGCACCGTACAATTCCCAAAGATTTCTCATACTTTCTCCTTGTATCTCTCCACCACGGGTGGGCTTTCATTCGGGGTTCCGCGCGGCAGTGTACAGGGAGATCGAGAGGAGTAAGCTTACTTTCCGTCGTTGACTGAGTCCGTGAAGACCGCCACGGAGAGGACGCTGTCGTTGCCGATGTCCGACCGCAGACCGACGGTGACGTTCTGGCCTAGGTGCAGCGAGAGGTGTTCCAGTCCCTCCGGATCGTGCACGCTCAGCAGGAAGCCCTCCGTGTTCTGCTCGACCCGCAGAGTGGCCAAGATGGAGAAGTCCCTGGGAAATCCGGCTGCGCACGCGATGACAAACGACCAGTGTAAGCACCTCAAAATGACAAGGGTGTATTTTATTTATTTATTCGTACGTTCAGAACTTTTTTGAGTGCGTTACATGTGTGTGAAATTGGAACTGCATGGATAAAACAGTCAATAAAAAAAAACAATACCGCACCACGCTCCCAAATGTTCCGATACTACAGAAAATTTTTTAGCAAGATCTCTCTAATCATTTTGCCTCAAACACCTCGGAGTTTACAAAAAAAAAAAAAAAAAAGGAAAACAGTCCAGAGTCGCACGTTTAGCATCTCGGTAAAGGAGGGTAAGTAAGGAGGACAAGTGGTCAATTGAAATGTTCAGTTATAAACTCTATATTTTTTTTATGCTTTAGTGTTTCTATGTACAATGGAGCAAACTTCCGACTTTCATTGGACCTTTATACTCATTTAATCATTGAAGATATAATTTTACTTTTAGTGCACTATAGCGAATTATGTTTATTGTCTTCTCTACTTTTGCTTTCTTTGCGTCGTCGTTGTCGTCGTCACTTTGCAATGGTTCCCTGGTCTCTTCAAAATCCTCACAACTTTTTATTTATTTTTTTAGGGAGATTATAGCATTTTATATGCTGTAAAAAAATATACTTTGAAACATCCTAACTTTGAAACTTTATAACTTTGAAATTCCCTAGCAGCGCACAGTCAGCGGCAGTTTGAGCTGGCCCGAAGTGGTAGCCTAAAGGGTTAAAATACTGCATGGGTGCCTGCGGCATGAGAGAGAGAAAAGTGTTGAATGTGTTAAGCTATGAAACAAACTGCCGAACTGCGTCCACAATGCCGCTGCCAGATTTCAGGCCTGAACGCCGTTGAGCCAGTTCATTATGCCGCACCCTGTACATGTGGCTCTCGTGTATACACCCGTGAGCGATATGAGGGTGAACAGCCCTCTTCTTGTTTTTGACGCTCCTGCAAGTTTTGGAACAAGCTCTGTTCCAAAAGAGGGCTAGAACGCAAAGTTTAGACCCCAAGCCACGTGCCATTTGAGACGTTGAAAGTTAATATAGCTTTAGGGAGCCGTAAAACAGGCAAGAAACCAGGTAAGGTGTTCACCTTCATATTGCCGGCGGGTGTACATGCATGTATGGTGTAAGTGACAAGTTTTCGTTTAATTTTCTGAGCTACTCCAGCCGGTACAAAAAGTCAGTAACAAAACCAACTACGTCATAGCCGTGAAAGTGGAAGTAACACCCACGCCACACGGTCAACTCGAATGCCATTTACAACGAATGACATTTGAACGATCGGCCAATCAGCGCGCGACACACCCCAAGCGTGGGGCGTTCCACGCTCGACAGATCGCGAGCCGATTCGTCGATCCCACGAATGTCGTTCGTTGTAAATGGCATTCGAGTTGACCGTGTGGCACGGGTATTAGTCTTGCGACAAACAGCGTACAAATTTAGAATGCATAATAAGACGTGCCTCTAACAGCTGAGCTCTTTGTAAGGCAAATTTGGAAAGACCAAGTGAGGGACCGAAATGTACTAGTCACAAAATAAACACAATTTGCAATTACATAAATCATACCTAGTGTGCTGGTAGTTATTGAATGTACCTAATGTTTCAATCCTTGGTGAAATTCAATCGAGTCACCAACATTTCGAATCATTACGTGTCATTCTGAGTTCGCTGCGCGTCTAACGTGTCAAGAGACACGAATATTGAAAAAGCGCCTTCTAAACTGGCCGGTATGTTAATTCAGTTTCAACTATTTATTCACACAGAGGCAATGCAAGTTGAACGGCAGTTTGGAAACGAGGCACAAGCTGCAAATCCACCTTCCCGGACCAAAAAAGGCAACGGTATACCTGGAAAATCAAGATGGTTGAGCGTGTTTTTTTTTTTTTTTTTAATTTACAATAAGGAAAGAGGACATGGACGACAAACAGACAAGACAGGCTTTTGACTTTCAACAAAACGTTTACTCAAAAACGTTTTGTTGAAAGTCGAAAGCCTGTCTTGTCTGTTTGTCTTCAATGTCCCTCTTTCCCTATCGTAAAATACCTGGAAAAGCCTGCTCCGTGGCCACCGTGAGCATGGCCTGCTGAGAGATCCTGTACGCCGTGTCCGGTCCGGGAAACATGGGCGCGCCTTGAGAGTCCAGCCAGGCCGGACGGTCCTCGCAGATGCCCGTGCGCACGTCCACTCCGAGGGGCAGCTGGGTCAGGTCCGTCAGGGCCACCAGGTCCGCCGAACCTGGGTCGCCGACAAAGAGGACTTCAAAGTCTGATACTTCGCGATCCCCGCTTCTAATGCCCGTGTCCCACTAGAGCGACATACAGAAACAAACAGCAGCGACAAGCCTCAAACCAGAGTCTTTCGCGATTTGACAGGCTTTATAGAATAAAGGAGGCTGTGCTCCAACACGAGCATCATTCGCGCGAGGATATCTTTGGTAGGCTTGCAATCGCTCGTGCTTGTGATGTACCTCAGAAAAGGCTACAAGCGCGAGCTCCTGGCAGATCTCGGCGGCACAAGCTCTCGTTCATTAAGGGCAGCTGCCAACGCTATGAGCTCGCGCTTCTAGCCTTCGCTGTGGTACAACATAAGGTGAAACGGAGTATAAATGCCTGCTAAAGGTACCATCGCGAGCATGCTGCATGGGTTTGAGGCTTGTCGCTGTTTTTTGTTTCTGTATGTCGCTCTAGCGGGATACGGGCATAAATGACAGAATCTCCATGTTGTCCTCGCGTGCTTTCAACTCCAAAGGCCGGTTCGCGCAACTGTGTCGGTTGCACCTATAGAGTTAAACCCAGAGCAACCAAAATGACAGCAAGGACTGAAGCACAGGGACAACCGTAACTCATGATTGTTTCATGAAGCTATTTTTCGCATTGCTTGGTACGTTGTGTGTGGCGAACACTTCTCCCGCGGTGACCTCGTCGTTGCTGTCGTTTCGGTCGCTCCGAACGCAAGCAACGCAACTGTCTGAACTAAAGTCATTGTATCCTGGGAAAGAAGCGCCAAGCTCTCCCAGGACGTCAATTTGGTCTATAAAAAAACTTATTTTTTTTTTACCTTTCTATTATCGGTGAGTCAAACTAAAATCCCAGTAACAGCTTTTTTTTCTTTTTTTTTTTTTAGGGGAGGGGGCATTTAACGAACATTATATTTGAAGGCGATGTTTAGAGAGCATGTTCCGAACGAGCTCACATTAATATGCTCCTAAGACCGCCAATCTTAATGGTTCGGAATGCACGTTGCAAAATAACTGTGGAAGTTCACCGTCAGCACGCACTTAGCGGTTGCGCACGCAGCTATGGCCGCCAGTGAATACTCCCTATTGAAAGAAGAAGGAAAGAAGAACAATATTATTGTTAAATAGCTGTGGAGATAAGCATGATTGACGATTTGATAGCATACACAGTGCGAAATACGCTTATATCGGCGAGGACGCATCCAGTACGATGACGCTCCATAGCGATTTTGGCACGACCGGTTCAGAATGACCCTTTCGAAGCTGCGAAGATTGGAAAATACCGAGATGGCGATTTCCATGGCAACAAAAACCGATCATCCAATTACTTTAAAAGGTGTGGCTCGTCTATGTGTTAGTACCTGTTTGTGTCCGGCCAACAGGCGGGGAAGGCAATAGCGCTATACTTTCCCAGGATACAGTGACCTTAGTCCGAACCAGCCTTCGGAAATCCGGTGTGTCTTCTTTCCCACAAAACACTTTGGAAAAGCAATTCATCGCTATAAACTACGAAAGCAGCTCAGCAATGACGAAACTAAAATTATATTTAGACCTAAAAAAAAAGACTGTGCTGTGGCACTGAGCATGGTGAAACGTCGTGCTCACTATCAGGGCACAAGATTTTTTTAATTTTTTTAGAGCGCAGCTCTTAAGGGCCCGTTTCCGGCTTGAGCGGCGTCGCCGTCGGCGTCGGCGTCGCCGTCGCCGTCGGCGTCGGCGTAACCGCGCGGTGCATCATGGGAAATGTCCCATAATGCACCGCGCGAGCCCCCCACCAAGGTCACGTGACCTCGTGGGGGGTCACGTGACCCCCCGAAGTCACGTGACTCCCCTGAGGTCACGTGGCCCCCTCCTCGAGGTCACGTGACCCCCGCCGATGTCGCGTGACCCCCCGATGACGTCATCGTCACTGATGACGTCACCGGCATCCACATCGTCATCGTCATCATCACTGATGACGTCACCGGCATCCACATCGTCATCGTCATCATCACTGATGACGTCACCGGCATCCACATCGTCATCGTCATCACTGATGACGTCACCGGCATCCGCATCGTCATCGTCATCATCACTGATGACGTCACCGGCATCCACATCGTCATCGTCATCGTCACTGATGACGTCACCGGCATCCACATCGTCATCGTCATCATCACTGATGACGTCACCGGCATCCGCATCGTCATCGTCATCATCACTGATGACGTCACCGGCATCCACATCGTCATCGTCATCATCACTGATGACGTCACCGGCATCCACATCGTCATCGTCATCATCACTGATGACGTCACCGGCATCCACATCGTCATCGTCATCATCACTGATGACGTCACCGACATCCGCATTGTCATCGTCATCATCACCGATGACGTCATCAGTGACGTCACTGATGTCGTCACCGGCATCCGCATCGTCATCGTCATCATTACTGATGACGTCATCAGCGACGTCACCGATGACGTCACCCACATTCGCATCGTCATCGTCATCATCACTGGTGAAGTCATCAGTGACGTCACTAATGACGTCATCGGTACCCGCATCGTCATCGTCACTGATGACGTCATCAGTGACGTCAGTGATGACATCATCGGCATTGGGGGTCACGTGACCCCCAAGGTAACGTGACCCCACCCCTGGTTAGTTTAACCCCCCCCCCCCCAGTGCCCTTCCCTCCTCCTCCTCAAGAGCTGCGCTCTAATTCGGCGTTACAGGGAGTTGTAAGCGGCTTTCATTTTTTTTTTATTTTTTTTTAGGGGGGGGGGAATTACGTGTAAGCTTTTTTTTTTATTGGCCGAGCTTTCTTGATAAATTGCAGCAATTTGGTTTGCCATGCGCTTTGCGGGAAAGAAGACGCTCCATATTTTATAGAATATAGGCACCATAGTCACAGGCAGAGTGTCGAACCGATATTTTTATCGGTTCGGTTCGGGTTCGGGTTCACGGCTTTCGGTTCAGTTCCGGTTCAGTTCTGGGGCGCAAAAAATAACGGTTCAAACCGGTTCGAACCGGTTTGAACTGGTTTGAACCGCTATATTGATAATATATTTTCCGCTTTGTTCTGTCATATGGACTATTTAGGCCGTGAAACTAACTGCTGTAAACGATCTGATTTTTGCGAGGACTTATTTTTGAGAATTTCGCGAATCGCCTACAATCCGCGAAAAATGGGTCCCGCGAAAAATTTCGGTAAAATGTAAACAGATTGAAATTTATATTGAGATTCCACCGCGTCGAGAAAATTACAACCCGCGAATTATTCCGAAACTTCAGCTTTGACCTAAATCGCGAAATATTGAGCCCACGAAAAATAAGTCGTTTACAGTATATAGATTTCTTCTTTTTTTATCGTTTGTTCAATCCAGTTTTGTTTTCAGGTACAAAAATGATAAAATTCGGTTATTTATACCTACACAACAGGAAAGGAAAATCTACAGTAACATACAAAACGTCGTGTATATACGACTCAACATTCTTTCGTTTGCCAGAGTCACATACATTGTACCTGAATCGAAATGTTTTCGCGAAGTGAAGTAGGTTGCCTGAAATACCCGTGATTGGTACAACTCTGTATCGCAGTATTAGATGTTGACTCGTGGTTTTGCCCTTGAACTAAGGAATTCATTACAGTGAATAAAATCATGAAATGGGCAGTTCGTCGCCATACACACCATAAAATGTGTTTTATGGAATACGTTTCACAATATATATATGATGGCGAGACGACTGAACTCAAGGCAATATAATTTTCAAGATGTCACGAAAGTCACGGCACAAGTCCTTCCAGTCTATATTTTACAGAAACACTAAGCGACAATCGCAATGCTTGTTTTTCTAACTAGCATTGTTTGCTCTCAGCAGCATGATGCGGGCGACGAATCATGCGAAAAGGAGTGGCTGAAATTATTCACTCTAACCTATGAGCACCTTCGTACTGAGATCGAATCTGACCTAAAACAGTGCTTACCCATGTGAACATTTTCTTATATTGGATAAGCTGGCATAGCCTGGTTCTTGAGGTTTGCTCTTGACAAAATGCCGGTCAATTTAATTTGCAAATAAGCATCACCCTCGCTAATTGATGATTTTTGTTAAATAGAACAAAGTGGAATTTCATGCTCTACTCAATTCGGAAGCTACTTAATTGGACACTTTCTGAGAGTTTAAGTGTGCAATCGTCATAGTTCCACCATTCGTTCCAGTAAAAAAAGGCGATAATAAAAACACATAAAAACGCAATAATAAACTTCTATAGATTTGAGAAGTTATATATGCGTGAGGAACACATATAGTTATTTAAATTAGCTTCAAAATAAAAAAAAAACAACATTATTTAAAGCTTTTCCAAATCACCTATAACGTGTCTATTGAGGATAAAAGCGCCGGAAAAGATTTGCAGAACATCTTTCAGATAATTGAAAGGTTCATTTACTTATATACCTTTGAGGTGACGATCTTCTATTTATGCTGCCAAATCTTCAGACAGGAATTAAGTATATTTTTATTATCATCGATAAATTGGACTTTATGAATTTCACATAACCGCCTGAGGCCGACACGGAAGGACGATACTCGAAAATACACCAGCTGTTGAGTCTTCGGAAACGTGCTTTTGTTAGTTGTTTTGCAGTGTAAAATACTGGGTTGCAGGGTATGCAAAAAACACTGTGGTCACATGATATATCTGAAGGCAAATACACGAAATGTGCAGAAATAAGGAGATGACACGCAATTTTTTCTAAAAAAATCCCTTACACAACGCTTTACTGCAAAAAGAGATGCACAGAAATGCATAAAATGATATTCCTAATTAAACATAGATTCCGCGCAGGGCAAACGAAGATTTTTAGAATCCTAATATAAATCACTTTTGGGCATCA